GAATGACACTGACTCTAGGTATGTTAAGGCAGGGAAATAAGTGGCAGTGGGACCACAAGAGATGACAAGGCACTAGGGAGGAAGATGTGAGCCTAGGATAACCCCCAGGTTTTCTCTTGGATAATGATGTCATTGGCACTGCCATGCAGAAATAAAGGTAAGAGAGGAATAAAAGTAGGTTTAGTTAGTTAGGGGTATTTTTGAAGCTATGCTGGCCCTGGAAGCCCAGGGAAGATGCGTCATCATATACAGTAGAAAGTATGAAGCTGAAAATCAACCAGAAGTTTGGAAGTAGCCAGAGAGTCTGTCTAGAATAATCACAGTCCTGAATTTATCCTGATGGTCTAAACCCCTGTAGTCTCACTAAGTGGGTTCCTTTCCATCTTCTCCAGTGTTTCCTCTCTGTGTGAAGTAATCTCACTTTCTATGCACAAGGATCATTTGTAAACCTCTCCACCTGGTTGCTATGGTCCAAATGTTTGTGTCCCTCCCAAACTCCTGTGTTGAGATACTAATGCCCAATGTGATGGTATGAGGAAGTTGGGTCTTAGGTCTTAAGGGTGAATTCTTCACGAATGTAATAGTGAAGAATCTCTATAAAAGAATGGTAATAGTGAAGAATCTTTATAAAAGAGATCCCAAAGATCCCACACCTTTTCAGTGTGGGGACCCAGCAAGATGTCAGTAGTCTGCAACCAGGAAGAAGGCTCTCCCCAGAAACCAACCATGCTGGCACCCTGATCTTGAATTTCCAGCTTCTCGAACTGTAAGAAATAAACTTCTGTTGTTTATAAGCCACCCAGTCTGTACATTTTGTCATAGAAGCCCAAATGCACAAAGATACTGATCAAATTTGCCAGATGGTAGACATTCCCAAGCAGAGAGCCATTATCTTCAAGATATCATGAAAGCAACCCTTGCTCACAGATGTGGTACAGCCATCTCTTGTCCTTCCCTTCAACCACAGCTTGAGAGTTATTCATGCCATTGATTTTTGTAGACAGAGGCTGGAACCTAGTACTTATTTCCCCTTAACTGGAACCCCTTTTAAAAACTAACCTACCAGTCTTCACACTGGGCAAAGACTGATTGTCATGACTGGAACTGTTTCACTACATGGCATTTATTTTCATCACAACAACGTTGTTGAGATCATTTAATGAGATGATGGAAAATACTAAAAAACAGAAACTGCCTTTGATAATTTGTATTTTGTTGGTTTTGTGTGGTTTCAAATAACATAATATTCTAGGAAAAATTACATAATATTCTAGTTTCCAAGTATTCTGAGTTAATGTTTTACATTAAACCCAATAAATTTTGCATTCTTACCTCATTAATACAACCATCTTCCATGATGATCCAGGTACAGGGAAGGAACCACTAGGGACTTCTAGAGGGATGTCTGACTGATTCTCCTTACAGTTGCCCTGTACAGAAAACAAAGCCTAGTCTCAGCCACCCAAGAGATCACATTCCAAGGCACCCATTCAGACAAAAATAAGCACAAATACAGCATGTTTTATATGTTCATAATTTTGTTTTGGTAATATTGACTACAATTGCATCTCCCCACTCCCCTGACTACAACTGTGTTTTGTCCTCAGTACACGTTGAAACTTGGGTTGTGAAGTTCACCAATAACCTCCACATTACTAAAGCCAGTGATCAATATCTAGTCCTCCACTTCCTCCACATCAGTTGCACCAATGGCTCTTTCTTAGACATACTGAAACACAGCCCTCTCCTGCCGTACTGCCATTCTTCTTCGGCATCCTTCACCACTCTTAGTTCCCTCCAGCAAGGTGGACTTTGTTCTGCTCCTTTACACACTCACCCTTTAGAGGATTGCATCTAGGCCCACAGCTTTACAAGCTGTTTCTATGCTGGTGACTTCCAAATTTATTTCCTTATCCCATTTCTGAACTACAGATTTAAAATAAGCTTTTCAAACATCTCTGAAATTAACTTCCTAAATTTCCCCTGTAATCTGTTCCTCTGGAATCCTCATTTCAGTTAGCAAGAACACTCTATCCTTCTAACTACTCAGGGCCAAAACCCCACAGTCGTCCTTGATTCCTCTTTCCCCCCATGTACTATAACGAATCCATTAGCAAATCCTGTTGGCTCTACCATCAAGTCAAATTTAGAATGTGACCGCCTTTCACACTTCCACTGTTCCCTCCCTGGGCCAAACCATGAGAATGTCCTTCCTACTTGATTATGTCTTAACTGGCTTGCTGGGCAGCTCCTGCCATCCACAGTCAAAGCATTTATAGACACACTAGCCATGTGCTAACTATCCTGTTGATAGTGTGCTAACGAACTATTGGAACAGGCTTTGTTGATTAGATGACAGTGCCTGTAAAGAAGGCTCTTTTCAAGCAGTTTATATTAACAATTTACGATGAAAAGATGAAGTTGGATCATCTAGAAGAAGATACAGGATTTGGTCAATCAGGGATGGCTTCATGTAGAGACGCACAAGGCCCTGAGCTCAGAAACCTTCCACACTTGCTTTCACGTTCTCCTGTCATCACCTTCATAGTCATATTTTTTTGGTATTCTCATATTCATTTTATTTTTTTCCTTTTTTAAAATTTAATTGTTATTCAAGTACAGTTTTCTTTTACTCCCAGCCCAGCCCACCCCCCAGGTGCTCCCCACCTCCCTCCCATTTCCACCCCCCTTAGTTGTTGTCCATGTGTCCTTTATACTAGTTCCTGTCATATTCATAATTTTTAACAAGGGCCTCACCACTTTTGTTTTATACTGAGTCCTGCAAATTATGTAGCTGGTTGTATGGTCAGTGCTGAATGGTATCTGATGGCAGGAATTGAGAAGAAAAAGCAAATCTTGGAATTAGTGCAGCAGAACAACAAATATCTAATGATTGACTATGAAAATAAAATGCGGCTCTGGATGATGTGGCTCTGATTGAGCACTGGCCTGCAAACCAAAAACATCACCAGTTCAATGCCCAAGCAGGGAACAGGCCTGGGTTGAGGGCCAGGTCCCCAGTTGAGGGTGAGCTAGAGGTCACCTAACAATGTATCTCTGGTGCATTCATGTTTCTCTCCCTTTCTTTCTCTCTTCCTTCCCCTCTCTCTAAAAATAAATAAAATATTTAAAAAATAAAAAGTGAACCTTAAAAAATGTGAAAATAAAACTTTGAATCTTGTTTTCTGGAGAGATTGTGGTTTTTCCCATGGAAAACACAGTGGAAAAGATTTGTTTGAGATAAAAAGGGAACAGCTCTATGAGCCTGAGGAACAAGAGTTTGAGAATGTAATCCCTAAGGAAAGACCGAGAGACAGAGAGACTTGCCCAAAATCCTCAGAATTGAGGCTGTAGTCAAAGATAGTAGAAATTATGAGACCATCAAGGAACAAATACATAGAGAAAAGAGAAAAAAGGAGGCCTTCTATAACTAAGGGCTAGAACGAGGTTACCTTACCACATTCTTTCTTTCGAGAACTTATTCATTACCAGGCAGTTTTTCTGAAACCTAGGAAGAACCAAGAGTAGTTTAAGGGTTTTGATAGTGGTGCTAGGAGGGACCTCCAGTCCAACATCCACATTTCGGAAATGAGAAAACCAATATTCCAGGAACTTAAGATAATTCTACAAATGTTTCCATTTCCGAGTGTGTTGAAATGTGCTGCTGTCCAAAGTTAAGGAAAACTAATCTTTGGCAATTGTGATGGTAGAAAGAGGCCTTGGTTTGACGTGATATTGTCACGTGACTACTCCGGGCCTCCATTCCTTCATTGAGAGAATACCATCCAGTCGCATTCCTCTTCTTCCTCCACAATGGTGCTGGCTGATCACAGCCCAAAGGCACCCTACTGAAGGTCTGAGTAAAGCTGGGGCCCAGGATCGGGCTACATCCATATGGGGAGAGGGGTGCCTTTTTTTAACTGTCAAAAACGCTGCATTAAGATAAAGCGGTGCTCTAAAAGTGAGAGCTCAGAAGTGCATGGCACAGGGTAAGCACTCAATACAGGATATAATTCTGAAGAACTCTGAACTGCACAATTACTTCAAACTCATGAAGCTCTTTACCGACATAAATTGCCAACCTAGAATTTACCCGTAATTCTTGTGAAAAGGCCGCATCTATTCCCAACACTTGCAATACTGCTCTGGACCTTACTATAAAATTCTTGGAAACTGTTGACACTAACATAACCGGGTATTTATAGTTCTGGTAAAAATTACTGCAATTGTTATTTAAGGATACTGCACACACAGCACAGGATAAAAATACAGAGAAATGCTATTGGCTCAATCAAGTCACGAAATTAGTAGGAAAAGAGTAGTATCCATAAGATTAAAAAAAAAAAAACTGCACTTAAGTGTTAAAACTGCTTCTTCCTTACCCGAGGAAGAAAACTTATGGTTTTAATTGCAAACCATTTTCTTCCAGAATTTCTAGACCAGTATCTAGCTATCACCCTCGTGAGTCAGGTACCGCCTCGGCCTTAGAGACGTGTTAGGCTCTCCACTCCCCTGACTGCGGCCATTCGGGCAGGAGAACCAGGCAAAGACCCGTGAGAGTACGGCCACGTCCCCGGCGCAGAATCACATTTTTAAATTCCCAACTCGGCTGGACCCTTCGCAGCGACCTCTACAATCCGCCACGGGGGCTCAGTTCTCCAACGCTGTCCACACTCACATAAGCTTGTCTCTGGGCAGGTCGGTTTGGTTCACCTGGGTTCTTCTCCAACGGGAGGTACTCTACTATCACCCGGGGAGCTTTAAAAAAGTACCGATGCCCATTGCCTCCTGGGACTCCCTTAAGCGGCCTCCGGACCGGCACAACAGTCCTCCAGGAGTATTTAATTAGTGCTACCCCCTCTAGCGGCAGGAACCGCACGGTGCAACGCCTCCCGGGCTGGCGTCAGGACCACGTGGGCGTAAGCGTCTCGCCGACTGGCGCAGCCGCCCCGCTTCACCCCGCCCCACGCTTCGGCGCAGGCGCTCAGGGGCGCTGTGTCCCGCCGGAGCTGGGAGACCTCATCAAGGGCCCGCCTCCCAGCCGGGAAAGAGGAGTGGACTCGGGATTGCCTGGGCAGTGGGGCAGGACCGCGCGTGTGGCTGCCTAGGGCGCCCCAGAGGCTTTGTAGGGGCGCGCTGTGCGCGGCTCCGGGGACTGGTGGTCCCTACGCGGCTGGGCATTGCGCGGATGGCCCTGCTTCGGTGTCCCGCACTCGCTTTCCTCCTCCTGGTCCACACTGCGGTGCTCAGGTGCCAGGAAGAGGCTCAGACCACCGACTGGAGGGCCACCCTAAAGACTATCCGGAACGGCGTTCACAAGATCGATATGTACCTAAACGCCGCCTTGGACCTCCTGGGAGGCGAGGATGGTCTCTGTCAGTATAAGTGCAGTGACGGTGAGAGGGAACTCCGCACTGCGAGGCCCGCGCTTCCAGGGGCTGCTGGGGGGCCGGAGGGCGTGGACTGTGACGTGCGAGGCAGGCCTTGACGCTGTCCTCTGGCCGTGGGAGCACCTAACTTCTGCTAGAATCTTGCCATTCTTGTCATTGAGCCACCTAGTTACAAGTCGCACCTCTATTGTTAGAATGTGAGACATCGCCTGAGTGTGCACTCTCCTCTATTTTCCTTGCTTCTGAATTTTCTTTTTTTGTTTGCTGTTGCACGAAGTTGCCTAAGAACTTGGTGACGTGCGCATCAAGGGAATGGAGTGGAAAACACCGATTTTAGCTCTATATTTTAGCTCTTTAAATAAATCAGCTGGACATGCAAAATATACTGAGAATTTTAAAGTCATGATGGTTTAACCTTCTCAAGAATTGGGGGGATTTAATTTTTTTTCCTGAAAAGCTACAGAAATACATTGCGACCTTTGTACAGACTTTTGGTGTACCCTATTGTTGAGAAGGAGTTCTGATAGCTCTTCTATATAATTAATCTCTCAAAACTTGACAGTAATTTTCTTTCCTTGGATATCACTGATGCCTTCTCCTCGTTGTTGGTTAATATAGTTGATATTAATATCATTGTTTTGATTTATGTTTTCATTTTTTTTAACTTTATGGTTGAGCCTGAGAACTTGTTTGGTATTTCGAGCAGAGATCTTTCTTGTAGTAGTTCAGATAAAGTACTTGGGCTTCTCTTTGGATATTCAAAATGCTAAAATGATACTTGGGAAATCATGTTTCCAGTAAGAGTAGACAGCTTCTGGACCTATTAATGCTTGACACCTCAAAAGAATAGGGAGCTCAATGACTGGTGGTGAAACCAGATTGTATGTAGGAGAATTTAAAAGGAACCTACCATATATCACGTAAAAACTCTGATGCCACCTCCTGCCTGTAATTCTCAACATAATTTCTAGTTTTATGTTAATGGAGTTAAAGAATGAGCTAGAGCTTATGTAATATGATGTTGTAAGTGTTCCATTTCTTCCCTAAATTTATGAAGAAATGTTACCAGTATGCGATCTGGAAAGATGCTTTTGTGCTTGTAGAGCTTGTAGAGGACCTTGTAGAGGAATAAGTAATTCGAAGGTTAGATGCTTGCCTTTTCTCAGGCTATTGTCATAGTTCCACTTAGTTATCCTCCTTAATTATACAAATGTTTGAGGGCCTGTTGTGTGTTAGGCATTCTACCCATTGGAGATTCAGCATTGAACAAAACCGACCAAAATTTCTGTCTATGTAGCCTGCATTCTAGGGGGAGAGACAGTCAATAAGCTAGTGAAGAAGTAAAATAAGCCAGATATGCAGTGTATATAGGTATGCAGTGCTTTAAGAAGGATAAAGCAGAGAAAACACCAGTGGCGGTGTTGGAAGGGAGTTTACTCTTTTGTATTGGTTGTTCAGGGAAGTCCTCACTGATAGATAACTTCTGAGAAGAAGTTGGAAAGTGGAGAAGGTATGATCCGGGGAAAGAACACTCCAGGCAGAGGAGCAGCAAGTGTGAAGGACCTGAGGAGAAAGGCCAGTGAAGATGACTCTGAAGGTTTTGGCCTGAGCTGGAGGAAGGGTGTAGTTGCCATTTACAGAGATAGGAACACTCAGAAGGAGTAGTCTTCATGAATTTATTATGTGTGAGTCAGAGGTTCTAGAGTTTATGTATTGATATATTTAAAATAGCTCTGGAGTTGAATGGATATAATCCCTATTTTAAAAGATTATTTTAATCTTCCTTTTTGCTTAATCCTTTTTCATCTTCCCACAAGTCGAACTAAATTTACCATTTGGATTTTGGAGCAAGGTCTCCAGCATGAATGAAAGCACAAATGAACGTGATCATTTCGGATGCCTCAGTGGAAATCCTTTTGTATCTTAGTAAGTACTGTCTGTGTAGGACTGTGGTTCCAAGTCACCATGTTGATAATTTAGACATAATGAAGATTGTTCTTTAATTGCTATTACTTGAAGAGGTCTCCCTGGAACACTCTTTCAACCTTTCTATATTCAGAGTGCAAGTGAACAAATCAGAACCAAAGAGAAGCAGACAAATCCCAAAGCTAGAGGAGCATGTTTTGTACTATAAGTAAGTCATTAATTTATTCAGTGATTTATGTTTCAACAGGATCCTTTTGGCTGTTGTATTGGGAATAAAAAGGGTCTAAGGAGGTAGAGGAGCAAGAAAGGAGGAGGCAGCATGACAGGAGCAGGAATTTAGACAAAAAGATGATGGTGGTTTGGGCCAGGTTGGTAGCAGTAAAGGTGGTGAGAAGTGGTTGAATTTTGGGTGTAGTTTGAAGGAGCCTACAGGATTCGCTGATGGCTTGGAAGGAGGGTGTGATTAGAGTAAAAAATGAGAGGGAGGGAAATGGGAATGGAAAGTGCTGGATATTTGAGGAAAATGGGAAGTGAATGGACTAGAAAAATAAAGTAGCATAAGAGGCCGATGGAGATGCTGATCACGAAGTTAAAGTCTCCAATGTTCGGTAAAGCAGGCTGGGATTTTACACTGTGCTTCCTACAGACATGGTGGTAAGGTCTTTGTGTGACCTGCTGCCTTCTCCTTATGCTTCTCATCTGCTTCAGTATCTTTCAGGTCACAGAAGTTTGTCTGTTTGGAAGTATTTACATCAAATTCAGAAAAATCTGGAGAAAAGAACTGTTGTCTCAGTCCCTGCAAATCTTTAGGTTTCAGCGGTCCATACAGGTGATGAGAGGAGTAGTTGCTTAAGTCAAAAAGTGAAGTCAGTGAATAGTATTTTCCTATAGTTGTGCACAGTGGATTTGTTTTTATTTTTTAAATTCTTCCCATCTAACAGTCTTTTTCCTCAGCTTTCTGTATCGGCTTATGAGTTTGGGGGGACAGTGGCCCTAATACACTGTGGCTTTGATTTGACTCAGATGTAGTTTCTTCTATAGTGAGTTTCTGCTTGCTTTGTGTATTAGCCTGCTCAGGCCGCTGTAACGAAATACCATAGAGTGGGTGACTTAAACAATGGACATTTTTTTTCCTATAGTTTTGGAGGCTGGAAAATCTAAGATTAAGGCCTGGCCAACACTGTTCTATGTTCCTGACTTGCAGGTAGCTGCCTTCTGGTTTGTGGGGGTTGGTAGGGTGTGACTGGGGAGCAAGATCTCTGGGGTCTCTTACAGGGGTACCAGTCCCATCATGGGGGCCTCATCTTAACCTAATCACCTCTCAGAAGCCCCTTCGCTGGGTACATTGAGGGGTTATGGATGCAACTAAAGATTTGGAGGGGCAGCATACACAATGTAGTTCACGTAGCACTTTGTAAAAACTGCCACCAGTAGAAATGTTATTTTTTTAGATGTTTAGCAGCTTATAACACAATTTATAAAACCTTTTAAATGATATTAACACATTTGTAATTTTGGTATCTGAACTAATCTTTAATAAACAACTTTCTTGGTTCAGAAACAATTATTTTATTTATTTATTTTAAAGATTTTATTTATTTACTCTTAGAGGGGAAGGCAGGAAGAGAGGGAGAGAAACATCAATGTGTGGTTGCCTCTCACTTGCCCCCAATGGGGACCTGGCTGCAACCCAGGCATGTGCCCTGACTGGGAATCAAACCAGCGACCCTTTGGTTCACAGGCTAGCATTCAATCCACTGAACCACACCAGCCAGGGCAGAAACAATTATTTTAATTTAAAGGTGAATTTAGAACATCAGAACACTTTAAAATATTTCAGGAAACGAATTATTTTTCAGTTTTCTGGAGAAGAGAGCTGTTGTTGTTATTAGTGTTTATTTGCTTTTGCTGTGGATAAAGAATATTTTAATTTCAGCAAGAAATGTTTTTCATTTTTTTCATCCAGTAATTTCTTGAGTGCCCACTATGTGCATCTTGTAAACGAGGAAGACAAAGTTCCTGTCCTCATAGAAACTGGCTAATTATGTTGATCTTAAGGTCAATAATGTTAGGAAGAGTAACCAGCCAAGATGTATGGAATGGATATGGAAGGGAAGGGCGCTACTTTACATGGAGTGAACAGGGAAAGCCTCTCTGAAGAAATGAAACTAGCAGTTTTCTTCAAAAGAAACAAAAACAAACACACACTTCGTTGCTGCTTCTGGGGGGCCCGTTTACCAGCATTTATTTCATAGTGTTATTATCCAGTGTTTCACATTCTAGACCTTGGTTCTTTATTATTCCATTTTATCAACTTCCCTCCTTGGGGCAGCTTTAAGCTCTAGCCTTGTTTGAGACAACCACCTTCTCCTCCATCCTTGGCTCTTCATTCTCGTTTTGCCAGCTAGATCCGAACTGTCTTTGTTTCTCTGTTTTCTCCTGTAGTGGGCATGGTTGGTTTTTATTATTTCCCTGACTTAATTTATAGCTGAAACATATGCTAACTGTCCCAGGCTGTATTAATACGGGTACTCTATCCAGTTCAAAATAGGTCTGTACTTAATGGAGTTCAGTTTTTCATTTTAAAGATGTGACAGATTACAAGTGTTCAGTCTTTGGAGGCTGATGAGCTCCCCAAACTCAAAAGAGACTGAAGGAGGAACAGTAGTACCAGCTTATCTGTTTATAATGAGTATAATAATTGCCATGAGGATTAACCTTCCAAGTCTTCTACTCATTCATTCGTCAACAAATATTTACTGAAAATCTAGCCATGTGCCAGGGAACTGTTCTAGACATTGGGGTCACAGAACAGAAATTTCTGCCCTCAAGGAGTTTGTATTTTAGGACTGGGGACAGATAATAAACAAAGGAAGTAGGTCAGTGGTACAGTATGTTAGGGGGTCACAGGTGCTGCAGATGGTGTGGTGAAACAATGCGTCCCTGAGAAGGTGAGGGAGTAACTAGGTTTCAGGAGGAAGAGCGTCCGTGGAGAGGAACAACAGAGTCAGTGGCACTGTGGCACCCAGTGTCTGGGCAGCAGCAGAGGACGGATGTGATGGAACGGAGTGAGGAAAAGAGGAAGAGGAGAGAGAAATGAAGGTGTGGGAGGCAGATTCGCATAGGAATTATAGACACTGAAAGGACTTTGACTTTCATCCCGAATATGACGAGAAGCCATTGGTAGGGTTTTGGCAGAGGGAAAATCCCATCTGACATACCTGAACAGAGTCACTCAGGTTCAGTGTTGATACTGGACTACAGCCGGAGGTGGGATGGGGGTGGGGAAACTGAAGGAGGGAGACTGGTGTGGAGGTTATGGCGATAATCCAGGGTGGCTTGGAGCAGGGCGGTAGCAGTGGAGGTGGTATGTCAGTGATTTCTATCTTACATGAGGAGAGCTATTTCTAAAGTACCTTTCAGCATTTAAGGATGATGATAAATGTCATCTTTCACGTTGTTACTGAACCGTTGGTGCTGTCGGGGAGAGTATAACTGGAGTAACATAGTTCACCAGGTTTATTCCTGACTTTTTTCCTTGACTGGCAAAAGGGTATATTTGCCAAATGATTGGCTGGAGTCTGGACTAGAACGTGTAGTCCTGTAAGGTCTTAACAATAGTATAAAGCTTTTACGTGAAAGTAGAGAAGAACCCCTTTGCTTTCCACCATTTCAGTTACCCTCAGTCAACCTGTGTGTGAAAATATTAATGGAGAATTCCAAAAATAAACAACGCACAAGTTTTAAATTGCACGCCATTCTGAACACCTCACTTCACCTCATGACATAGGCACCATACCATCTTACATCATCACAGAAGGCTGCGTACAGCACAGTATGGCATTTTGAGAGACCACATTCACATAATTTTTATTACAGCATATTGTGATAATTGTCCTACTTTACTGTTAGTTATTGTTAACCTCTTACTGTATGTAATTTATAAATTAAACTTTATCATAGGTACGTATGCATAGGGGAGAAACATAGCGTATATAGGATTCAGTATTGTTTGTGGTTTCAGGCATCCACAGGATGAGGACTACTGTAATTAAACGACCATTAAGTGACCATGTCTTCCTTAGCTTTAGGCTCCAGCTTAGTAACTGGTTAGTTAATCATTATTGAGATTTGCTTGACATGGAGCATTGGCTAAAGGATAGGAAGATACAGTTCTCGTCTTACAGGTTTTAATTTAAAAATGTAAGCATTAGAATGTACAGGAAAATAGGATGGATTTCTTTTATATGTGTGGACCCATTCTGGCATGTGACCTCTGAAATCTCCAGAAGTCCAGAATAAGCTTTTGTATGTTTTACATGGTATAGGTTTACAAATATAATTACATTTTATGAACTCCACCATACATCTTATGAGCCATCACATATGTGTGTATATATATATATTTATACTTATTTGACTAAAGGAGAAATAAAAATAATAAGGTAGACAAATTAGCCTTCTTAATGCTCATCAGAATAAAGACATATTCACTTATGTCAGCATCTAAATATTAAGTATTTCCAAAGCTAGTCTAGCCAGTTGTAGATCTTTTTGCATATGTACTTTTTATCCTATTTCAAAGTTAATTATGGTACCGTTTCTATTTTGTAGGATCTAAGCCTTTCCCACGCTATGGTTTTAAACCCTCCCCGCCGAATGGATGTGGCTCTCCACTATTTGGTGTTCACGTAAATATTGCTTTTTATTTGATAAATGTTACCATTGTCAGGCTATGTAATACTATTGATTATGCAAAACTATCAATGTGTTCTTAGGCTCACAAGTAATTTTACTTGTTGTAATAGTGATCAGGTTTATTATATTCTTTTATAGCTAAAAAACAAGTCCTAACAAAACTAAATATAGTAAAAGTCATGTTTTATTTTTTAATCTTGAGACATTAATACCATGTAAGTGATATTTCTTCATGCCATAAATACGATTTATTATATAAGAAATACTACTTAGGATGAAAAGTATAGATAAGGCATACTATTTTCTATATTAAAACTAGGCTAAGTAGGATAGCTGTGTGTTTGTGGTAGGGGAAGCTGGATCTCAGCCAAGTGTTATGGGGAAAATGTTTGTAGACTGATTCTTAGACACGAGGATTTTACATATAAAGTAATTTAAATTAGTTAAAGATATGAATCATAGATTCAAAGGAACAGTATCTTTAGAGATTGGAGGGACACTTAAAGATTAAACCTCAGAACAACAAACAATATTTAGTTGTAGGAGCTTAAAATTTTTCAGTGACCTTTCATATGAAGTACATTTTATTTGGGGGATGAGGTACAAAATACTTTGGAATATCCAAAAATCCTCCTTGCCCAGCTCCTGGAGAACTCTTTAAATGCTGTCAGACTTACCTTTCTGTTTTTAAAAGTATGTTTTGTGCTTTGGGCAGTTGGAAGTTGTGTTCATTAGCAGCAGGTAACTGTAAATATTCTACCATTGCCAACGAGGAAGCTCTAAGGCGTGGCTGAGAGGGAGGTCACAGAGTAACATGGGTGCGTGCGATGGCGATCAGGAAGAGAACTGTAAGATGGAAAACATTCGTAGGCAGAAATGGATTTTAGGGATTATACAGCAGTCATTGTCGTTGATTTCTCATTGATATTTCTGTGCAGAACTTAAGCAGAGTTTTGAATCTCATTAACGGTAATCCATCCAAATGTCTCTTTCAGCTTAATATCGGCATCCCTTCCCTGACAAAGTGCTGCAACCACCACGACAGGTGCTATGAGACCTGCGGCAAGAGCAAGAACGACTGTGACGAGGAGTTCCAGTACTGCCTCTCCAAGATCTGCCGGGAGGTGCAGAAAACTCTAGGACTCACTCAGCATGTCCAGGGTGAGGATGATCTGGTGGAAGGGGGAGGAGCACGGGTCTTCCAAGTTTCATCGAATGCTTTGTGTTTTAGAGCAGGACTTACGGACAGAAATCTTTCACTCTGTTGTACATTATCTGTTGTAACACAGCCGCTTCGATTTTCTGAGATGAGGACTCAATGATTTTGTAACCTGAAATGATTTATGTCACGGAAACAAACAGTGTTAGGGAACTGGGAGAGAAGGTTTTGTGAGGCAGAGAAGAATTCACGCCAGTTCTTGGAAACCCCGATCCAGTGAGTTAAGAGGGGAGCACATTAGATTTAGAGTAGGAAGTTCTGGAAGATTTGAGTCTGAACTCTGTCTCTTCATATGTATGTGTCAGGAGGGTCCCCCAAACCACCCCTTTAATGGTTTAGTGGTTGGCTAGGAGGATTCAGGACTTAGCGTGTGGTCGTAGTCACAGTAATGATTATCACAGTGAAGGGACGCAAGGCAAAAATCAGCAAAGGGGAAAGGTGCTTCGCTGTCTCATTTGTAAGTGAGGATGATGACCCCATCGCAGAGTTATTGGAGAAAATGAGATATTTGTGGGCTCATCCATCACTGCACAGCTGCTACCAGTTATGAGATATCTTTACTGTCAAGCCAAAAAATGTACCACACACTGAAAACAAAAGAGAAAAGGCAATTAGAAGGGGCACAAAGGGAAACTAATGTTTTTAAGTACTTTGCATAACAGACTATACTTTAGATATATTTTTATTGAGGTTTACAAAAATCTAAAGAAGTAGGTGCTATTATACCCACTTTTCTAGGAAGGAAACTGAGGTTTGGAAAGAAGTAACTTGCTCCAAGTGACATAGTGCAGAATCTAAAATGTGTGTTCTGTCTACTATGGTATTTCCCCAAACAGTCTCACAGGTCTGACTCTGAAACCCTACTAATAATGGTCAAAGAAGGAATCTCTGCTCTAGGTGGAACTTGAATGCACCACCTTTGAATCCCTTTGCGTGCTTTTGGCTAAGATAAACTTGTACAGCTGAAGCACAGGGGCTTGTGTTTCCTGTTTTCTGATCCGAAGTCATGCTAACATAGCTCAGTGATGAAACCAAATTCCTTTCAATCTTTCATTTAATAATCGCAGCCTGTACACTTCCGTGATCAGTTGTGTTCCTTAATGGCACAGTCTTTTGGGGAACTTTGATAATGTGATGATTTTATAATGATGATTTTAAATTTTCTTAACATGAGTGTTTGAAACTTGATATATTTGGACATTTGAAAGGCACTCTGTGTTGTCTCTCTACAAGTATAGTGTATTAAGATAATCTCACCTGGGTGTTTCAAAGTAAATCCATTGTCTTTTTTATCATCTTAAAAAAATTGTTAAAGCCTACCAGATGAAAACCAGTTTGATTCTTACCTCCCATCCCAAGCTAAATTTGGATATTGGTCAAAGAAACAGACTTGGGTCCATTTACCTCAAGCATCTTAAATGATCTGTGGTTGGTTCTTAGAAGCCATTGGCTAGAATTAAATGTTTTGATGTTGCTCAGTTTTTTACCTTTATTTTTTCTGCATCTAAAAATCTTCCCTTGAAATGTAAAACGTAAGTGATATCAGGCATCTCTAACAATGATATTTTTCAGATTAGAGGACAATTAACAGCGATGAGCTGGTTGATCAGTGCTCTTGAGAGAGACTCATTTGTCTAATAAAGAAAATTGGGTCAAACAGTTGCATGCAAAGAAAAAGTAGACACACGGTCAAGAGCTGAAACGAAGTCTTTGTATATGTGGATATGTGTTTCTGGTGTGTGAAGATGTTCACCAGCATACATCTAAGTGCCCACGAAGGAGGTGCTTGACTCTGTACTGGAACGTGTGACATGTGTGAAGAGAGCGCAGTGCTTTGACATTTCCCCCCAGTAATGGCACTTTTCTTACTTTGCAGCCTGTGAAACAGCAGTGGAGCTCTTGTTTGACAGTGTTATACACTTAGGCTGTAAACCGTACCTGGACAGCCAACGAGCCGCCTGTTGGTGTCGCTATGAAGAAAAAACCGATCTTTAAAGAAGATGCTGACAGGTGGTGCCAGTGAGGATGAAAGAACATAACCTTTGGCAAAGAACTAATGGTTTTTACAGCATGAAACTGCCTGATTCTTATTGTAAGACATTATTTTGACATTAAAACTTCAAACTAAAAACAACCCCCCAAAACTCTAAAACAGCCCTGGCTGGTGTGGCTCGGTGGATTAAGTCCTGGCCTGTGAACTGAAGGGTTACAGGTTCGATTCCTAGTCAGAGCACATGCCTGGGTAATGGGCCAGGTCCCTAGTGGGGGAAACTTGAGAGGCAACTCTCACATTGATGTTTCTCTCCCTCTCCCTCCCTTCTCTCTAAAAATAAATAAGTAAAATCTTTAAAAATGACACAAGACTTCAAACTAAAGAGAAGTTGGGGAGGTTATGTGCCTGGCTGTGTTGCTGCCTTAGTGTACCAGGTTGTCTTGACCAGTGTTGGGAAGAGGTGCGTGTTACCACATTTACAAAACAAAAAAAGTGAAGTCAAATGTGAAATTCATGTGTGAAATTTCATATTTGGAAATATGGGGAGACCATCACTCAGAAGTGTTATTTGTCTACTAAAAAATTTTAAATACACATTCATGCCTAGAAGGACCTGACTTTATTTTTTTTCTATTTTAATTAATACAAGATATGCTATTTGTCTGTAGCCCATTGAACATACGAGGAAATCATATTTCTCTCAATGACAGGACTAATTACAAGGACAGGGTCTCCATGTCTGCTTCTATAAAACTGGAACTGTTCACTGGTGACCTCTCAGGGAGCAAAACCAGGATATGTACTGTTATGTAATATGCCTAAGAAGTGATGTGAATAACATTCAGAAGCACGGCCTCCCCCACGCTATGAACCACTCCTCTGACAAATGTCATATTCTGTTATAATCTTTGCCTAAATTGGAGAAAAGATAGATTTAATGAGACAAGTGGAAAGTTGTTTAACATACACATCATAGAGTTATATTCTGTTATACTTTAGTGTTTATTCCTTAACTTGTTCCTCATAGTGCATTCTGGGATAGTTTTATTAAGTGGACTTAATAAAAATTGTACTTGCTGTTGTTTGGGGGGGGGGGTGGTTAAGCCTTAACCGTGGGGTTGAAAGGGATGGCAAAGCAAGATACAAAGAACTGTCTTCTATAAATCTCTGACTTACGTGAAAAATTACTAACATGTTTAAGAGCAAATCCCACAACCCCGCTGCCTCTAAAAATGTGGGCGTGGAGAGCTTTTCTGCCCCTCAGAAGCTTGGTCATGGTCTCCGACTGCCCTCTGCACACTGCTGGCTGTCCACTTTCCTGAGCCCAGGACCCCAAGCCATATGTATCTTCTGAGTAACCTGTGATTAAAATTATTAAGACAAACTACTTGGAAAGTCAGAGAAATACACCACCCGGAGTGGTTCTTTTTAAGTCATTACAGGCAGCATTCGGAAGAAAGAAAAATATGTTCTGGAAAAAAGGCTGCATTCCTAACTAAATACAGCAGGTCCTCAACATCATTGATGAGATGATACAGAAACTTAACTCTTGTTTGTATCAGTTAACCTGTGGTAAAACTGCCTTTGTTATGCGAAGTTGCACTTAAAGTCGCAGAACCTGTCATTGTCGCTTCCTGTATATGTTGTTACCTGACAGCTGCCCCAACTGAGGTGGCGGTGGCTGTTCTGCTCAGAGATGTGTCCTGCAGCGGACGAGGCAAGTGTGTCCCTCATGGCTAAGTGAACAGACTGGAAACTTGATGTTTGGAACTCCTAATTGATACTTTTCAGACTTTTTTACAGGTGCAGTTTTATAAGCCATTGTCAATATTTAATCTTTATCAACATTTACTATTGAAATACTTGACCAAATAACTTGAAACTTGTAATAAATTCATGGACTTTCTTGGCAGCATTGGCTTTCTCAAGACAAACTCAGAATGTCTTTTTAAATATTTAATTCACAGTCATATGTACAGAAATCAGTAGAAGCTGTTTTTTATATGTTCAGGTTTTTAAAAACTTGTTATCTTGGAATAATTTTAGATTTACAGAAAAAGTTGCAAAAAATAATGTCAAGGCTTCCTCTATATTTCCTGCCCCTAATGTTAACATTTTAACATAACCATGAAACAGTTGTTAAAAAACCAATATTGGTGATTACTATTAATTAAATTCAGCTTTATTTGGATTGTACTAGTTGTCCTACTAATGTCACTTTTCTTTTTCAGGATCCAATCAAGAACACCACACTGCATTTAGTCATGTCTGCTCAACCTCTGGTCTATGATGGTTCATCAGTCTTTCCTTGTTTTTCATAAACTTGGTAGTTTTAAAAAGTATTGGTCAGATGTCCTGTAGAATGCCCCTCAGTTTGGGTTTGTCTGATGTTTTCCTCATGATTGGACTGTGGTTATGGATTTGAGGAGGAAAATCAGAGGTGAAGGGTTCTCGGTAAATCATATGAGGAGTTGAATACTGTCAAGTTGATGTTGTGATAACTTTAGATACTTGGCTAAGGTAGTGTCTGTTAGCTATCTCCACTGTAGATACTTGGCTAAGGTAGTGTCTGTTAGCTATCTCCACTGTACAGTTACCATTTTCCCTTTTCATACTTTCGTTCTTTGGAGGCCAGTCATCAAGTTCAGTCTATGGGAAGTGAAGGGGGGGCAAGATGACCTTCTATCCCCTGGAAGGGGGCGTATCTATGTGTAGTGCTTGGAATTCTTCTGTAACAAAGATTTGTGGCCCCCCCCCATTTACTTACTTAGTTATTTATAGCAGTATGGACTCATGTATACTTCTTTTATGCTCTGGATAATGTTTATTTTGTTGCTCAAATCATTCTAGCTTGGCTATTGGGAGTTCAGTCAGGTTGGCCCCTGGGTCTCTGATATGCCCATCCTTTGGGTCTCTGAGCATTTCCACAGTTTCCGGCAAGAAAGTAGGAAAGTTGCTCCAGGCTCATCCTGCATATTCCCAGCCCTAACGCCAGCCTCTTCGGTTCCTTTTACTGGAGATTGGTTTCTGATGAACCTTAGAAACCAAGATCTGGACACTGGATGTGCTTGTGGCTACCGAATACCACTGCTTCTAGACACTCCCAGCAAACAGAGCTATGAAATATATACAGGGTGGGACAAAAGTAAGTTTACGGTTCACGTGGAAAATAATATAGTAATTAAGAAATAATAATACAAGAGTAAACTCTGTTTTTCATGTACTCACAACTGTAAACCTACTTTTACCCCTCCCTGTATATATGTCAACATGTACACACCTGAAATTAGCTGTGTGTACATAAATATACATACATTTGAGTTTGTATTGATGTTTTCACTTGAATTCTGTGCCATGGGGCATATATTTATATTTTAAGAGTGGTATTTTCCCTATCCACAGAATACATTTTAAAAAAAGCAAAATTTTTAAGATTTTAATTACTTTCAGAAAGAGGGGAAGGGAGGGAGAGGGACACTGATGTGTGAGAGAAACATCGATCGGTTGCCTCTGGCACGGCCCCAGCCAGTGACCTGGCCCATAACCCAGGCATGTGTCCTGACCAGGAATCGAACTGGTCACCTTTTGTTTCACAGGCCAGTGCCCAATCCACTGAGCCACACCAGCTGGAACAAAAAGCCAAAGAGTTTTTAAAACCAACCCCCAAAGCTAGTTTTAGCAGCTCTTTGTAAGAAATATGATATTGATCTTTGAAAATAATAAAACTACATTGCTTTAAAATAATGCATGTCTCTTCAAAAGCTTTTGACACACTTCTTCCAGGAACAGATATGGCTGCACTCATTTCATGGTGAGGTCAAGAGCGAATTAAGCACATCTTAGGGAGCAGTCTTCCTTTCACTGAAGTCCTAACCAGACTGGTAATACTAATTAAGAAGTTTTGGTAACTTATAACTAATTCTCCCTAATTAAGTACAAAGTGCTATTTCTGTTAGTATTTATAGAAGTACAAGATTACAAGGTCATTTTATCCTGGTACAAAATAAGAATAACATTTAATGAAATGAAGACAGTGGAGTCTTTCTGTAAAAACAATGTTTAGTAGACTGACTAAAGGCACTTTGTGGAGTAGAATGAGATGTATCAGGTAAGATCCACCCACATGTACTATATTGCGCTGTTCTAAAATTTGCTGATATTACCTGCTATATATTTATTCAAACTTGTGTAATGACTGGCTGTACTTGAAGTAGTCCCTTCAGTTTGCGATTTTTTTCTCTGCTTTACCTTACAAAAACAGCCACCTGCTCAAATCATAAGTGCAAGAATGAACCAGTGCTATAAACACATGAAAAATAATTTTAAATAAAAATAATGAAAACTGGGTCAATAGTATCATCTTTGCAGATAAGCGACAGTTGTTTGTTTCCCACAGCCTTATTAGGTTTCCCCCAAAATTTTCAGAGCCTTGCTGACAACTTTTCAAACATTTCTTTGTTGGCTCTCAAGTTTGAAGTGTAAGCATCAGAATCATAGAAATTTAATATTTCTATAATTTATATAGGAAAAAACTGAAAGTTTAGTGAGGTAACATTGAAAAAAAGACCAAAATTTAAAATTTAAAATTACCTCTGAATTTAATTTTGGTCCACAAGATGTCATTCCTCGGATAGGTGACAGTTGGCCTTCAGTTTCAGTACAGTCCATAAAATTGATTGTTCCCATATTATGGGAAGAATCAAACCATCCCGTTAACGTTTGTGAACCCTGAAAAAGAACATACCAACTGGGAATGGCTCCTGGCATTTAATGGGGCTCAAATTTTAAAAAAACAAGCAGTCTAGCAGCCTTTCTACACAGGGGTCTTTCAGGCAAACTGCAGTTGAGAGTTAAGCCTACCCTGAAGTTTGTATGGAAAATAATACAATTAATAAACAAGAATAAACTCTGTTTTGTATACTCAAAACTGTAAGCCCACTTTTGCTCACCTCCGTATAACCACTTATGCTACAAAAGCAATATAATATTCTAAGTAACAAAATACTTAGGGGAAAAAAATTCCTTTCATCTGTTCCTTCCAGCTAAGTGGAAGGCCAGCCAGTTGGGATTCGGCTCCTAGAGAGGGCGTGTTTTCAGGACTCAAGCAGAGGAGACTCTGAAGATTAGGCAACAGGACTGGAAGCTCTGGTGGTCAGATAACTCATTCAAACTGATTAAAGTCCTGCGTGTGAATGCTGAAAGCTTGAATCTCGTACAGTGGATAAATATTTACTGAACACTTCCTATCTGCTAGGCAACTGGGCTTGGTAATAGGGAAACCAAAAGAAGGCAGATCCTGCTTTCAATTATAGTAAGATGGTAATAAAAATAATTTATTGAGCTCTCTACAAGCCAGGCAGTGTTCTGAGTACAGTCATTGAACTCAATTGTCACAACAACCATATATAAGGGAGATGTTGATCTTCTATGCCTTCACTGAAGAATGAGTAGCTAAGATAATGATTTCTGGAAAAAAGTTTAAATCCTCAGATGAGGACATGTTTATTGATTTTATAGAGAGAGGAAGAAACACTGGGGGAGAGAGAATCACTGATGTAAGAAACATGGATCAGTTGCCTCCCATATGTGCCCAGACCAGGGATCAAACCTGCAACCTTTTTTCGGTGTACAGGACAACACTTCAACCCACTTAACCACACAGCCTGGGCAATTTTGGGAAATATTTTATGCTTTCAATGAAATGAATAGTAAATTTAGTATGGGGCGAGTAAAAGCCTTCTCCTTTGATTTCATATTCCATGTAATGAGCAAGCATGATTTTTGAACCACGAGCACATGCGATTATCAAGTTAGATTTTATTTTTTTCCCCATAATAATGGGGTAACATTAGTAGAGGACAAACTGATCCCTTATTTATTTCTTAAATATCCCTTATAGTTATTTTAACATATTAGAAATCGTGTCTTAACACATTTTTTCCCCGGTATGAAGTTGGTTACTTTTTAAATGACAAGGCCCAAAAGACTTAACAAAAGATAAGGCCACCTTTTCATTCAGTCTTAAAGAGTTGTAACTGAAGCAAATTTACACAATAGCCAATCACCCAAGGAGGTGCTCAGTTGAAGGCAACATTGAGTGCTTCATCACACCGATTTGCACACTGAGCAGCATTTTATGTGTGAGGACAGCATGCTTTGACTCAAGGCAACCCGTAATCTATAGAACCCCAAAGTCCTGGCTCCCAGTTTCTGCATGATCCCTTCCCCAAGTTAGCTTTGATAAAAAATTATGACAGAGACTTAACCAGGCAGTCAATCACAAGGGTTTGTGTGAGGAGCTAGGGCTTATGGGAGAAGTTGTGTACTCTGTCATTTCATAATCCTACAGGAAGAACTCTGTTCATAACAGAGCACTATGGCACTATGGACGTAGCAGCGCCTCTCCCTAACTTTCTCTTCCCTTTCTAAGTTCCTTCCCTGTCTTGGTCCAGTTCAGTGTGTGCCTGTGGCTCACCATATCTGCATGCATCAGACTGAATTTCTTTATTTTTCCCAAATAAATCTTTTGGTGACAGAATGTCAACAACTTGTTCATTTAAAAATAATAAGTCAAAGTGAGAGGCAACAAGCACTTATTTGAGATCACAGAATTGCAATCAGGAGCATAGATTCAGTTGGAAACCCAAATTGTGTTCCAACTTCAGGGCAAAGGCAATAGCATTTCTATGAGAAAAAGGAAGAAAAATAATTATATGAATAGAAGGAAGGACTTTTCTATTGGTGTTACCAAACTGTATTACTTTAGCTACATAGGCAGTCTTCATTTTATTGCACTTTGTGTTACTGTGATTCGCAGATACTGTTTCCATCAACATCAAAGCAGGACTCTCCAACGGCAAAAAGATTATGACTCACCATTTCTTTGGTTATGGATTTTAAGGAATGTCCATAACCATCAGTCTTCATGGTTAGGATACCTGCTTTCCTGTTAGCTTTACATTTGTTTGTAAGACAATATTATTTTGCCCAGTTCAAACTTTGCAAAGGTTGTAGGAGCAAGACATGCAAGCGGCTCCTCTGGAATGATTGCTCTGTTCTATTTTAAAATGACCTCACTTATGTATGGCAGCTTTTCACTAGCTCTACCTACAAGAGCCAGACGTGAAAATCCTGCAGTGGCCTCTAGTTTACTTTGGCCCACATGCCCTATACAAGCAGCGTTTAAAATAAATTATTATAAATCCTATAAAGTAACGTGTACTGGTGAAAGACCTACACGTTGCAGCGCATGGTAAGTGCCAATTCAAACGCCAACAAGATCAGTGTGGTGAAGAAGGAACCTTTAGTGCAAACAGCACAACAGTTATACAACATGGCACTGCTATGGAGCAGCTCAATAGTGTAAGAGCACCTCTGTGAAAAAAGAAGGGCTGCGAGGAGTCAGAGGTCTGTACCACCCTACCCCACCACTGCCTTCTGTTTCAGCCAAGGCGACAAAGCTTCAGGTATTTGGTGTAAAGCCAAACACCTGAGCCAGCTGGGCGCTGGCTTGTATAGACACAAGTCCCCACCTCTAGCCCCTGATTGGTCAAACCTGTGAGCTCCAATTGGATGAGCAAAGCCTCAGTCCTATTGGTTTAAACCGGACTCGGGCTGGCTCTCGGCTCCACCGAGCCTCAGACTGGCAGGTTACTTAGTAGGGGTGTAGGGTCTGCGGCATTGTGGGGCCCACGCAACTCGAAAGGGCTCTGAATGTGGCCCAACATAAAGTCATGAATTTACTGAAAACCTTTTTTTTTTTTTTGCTCATCAGTTTTTGTTAGTGTTTGTGTATTTAATGTGTGGCCCTAGGCAACTCTTCCAGTGTGGCCCAGAGACGCCAAAATGTTGGGCGCCCCTGGGAGGCCTCTGCAGAAATGGCTGCTGGGCTCTATTGTTGGGGCCCAGTTAACCACCAGGAGCTCTTCTTAGTCCTAAGGGTTCACAATCTGAAACACGAAGACAAACGACATCCTTCACCCTTATGCTGGTCAGGAAGACCAAATGTTTGGGGTGGGCTTGAGGGAGCCTCAGCTCCTCGCACGTGATCTGCCATCGCCTGGGGCTTTCTACTTGAGCCGCCCCACGTCTTCGGGTGGTGGCTGGACTGGCCCGAGAGCCAGTCTGTCTCTCTGGCCCCAGGCAGTCCGGACTGCGCTTCCCTGCCCCGCCCCGCGGCGCTCCAGGCCCTGCGGGCTCAGGAGGGAGGAGAGGAGCCGTCACCCTGGGGAGGCACCGGCCGGGGCGGAGAGGGTGGAGGAAGGGGCGGTGCTGCGGTCCGGCTCTAGGAAGCGGGGTCCTCCCGGGTGTGGACGCTGTGTTCGGGCCGCGATGAGCTTGGTACCTGGGCCCCGAGAGGCTGGCCTGGCAGGTAGGGGTTCTCTGGGGCGCGGGGTTTCCCGGCTTTGCTGGGCAGCCGGAGGAAGCTGCGGGTCCTGCAGGGAAGCTTTTTGTTTAGGGAAACGTCGCGGACTCCTCGCCGCCGCCTCTTTGCTGGGCGGGCCCCTCCTCTTCCAGAGAGGAGCGCTTTCGGGGCGCAGAGCCACGTAAGCGGTAACTGGCTGGGCCCGCGGCCCTGGCTTGCCCCACACCTGGCCATGAAAAGTTAACTTTTGGAGGTTGGATCCGGTTTTGTTTTCTCACTTCTAAGGAAAAGTTAAAGAAGAGGTTGCCTGCTGTAGTAGTGGAAGCCGGCCCGACCGGCTGGCCCCTGTTGTGGCTAGGCTAACCTGGAGACAAAGCCAGGCCCTTCTGGGTATTGAACCCAGAATCAGAACCTTCTCCTGCATCCAGAAAACCTGCACCTGTGGGTCTGAGTTAAAACCACAGCGCCATGTCTCTACAAAATAATCAACTGCTGAACTTGTACTTTAGAACGTTCTTCGCTGTCGCTTATTAATTAAATTACTGATAAGGTTTATTTTTATTTTAAGGTTGATGTGTTACCAGTTCATTCAGAGTGCCTTTATTTTAGAGCGTTTTATTCTTCGCTGCACAGAACAAGCCTTGCCCCAAAGCCAAGTTGTAGAAAGTCATAATAAGGTCATTCAAGGAGTGGCTTTGCCCTAGGCGGGCAGTGCAGGGCCCTAGGCAGGCCATTCTGGAACCTGTGGTGGAGGGTGGAAAACGAGGGCAGGGATCCCGGATGCCCGACTATTAGGCAGAGCACCCCCTCATCCATTCTTTTGATCACATTCCTTCTTCAACCTCCTCCCTCCCCACCTCTCTTTTTGTCCACCCCATCCTTTTCCAGTTTGTTCTAGGATTAATTTTTACCCATAGAGAGTATGGGTAAAATTCCCTAAGCACCGCAGTAAATAAAGGCTGTGACAATAGATGATGAAGTTTGGAGAAATGAATGCTTAGTTTAGGACGGTAGAGATGGTCTGTCTCCGGTGGGAGAGGGTTTAGTGTGGTGACTGGGTGCAGAGACTAGAATTCACAGGCAACCTGGCTTTTGATCCCAACTCCACTGCCCTTCTCAGGCTTCAGGGGACTGTGGAGCCCAAGGAGAGAAAGCATCGAAGGCCAGACCATCAACAACTGGAAGCTAGTAGGATTATGTGGAAAAATATCAAATAAAGGTGAAGAGAAAGAAGGAGTGATTCATTCTGTAAAAATTTAATTTAAGGAGCAAAGAAGTGTGAAGAGGTGAAGAGTCAGATTTAAACGGGCTGCAATTAAATAGGGAGCTATAAATATAGGTTATCTCCCTTATTAAAATTTATTTTCTCTGCTTGGTGTGGCTCAGTGGATTGAATGCCAACCTTCGAACCAAAGGGTCACCAGTTCTATTCCTTATCAGGGCACATGCCTGGGTCCCACTAGGGGGTGATCAAGAGGCAGCCACACGTTGACGTTTTCCGTCCTTTTCTCCCTTCCTTCCCCTCTTTCTAAAAATAAATACGTTTTTAAATAAAATTATTTTCTCCATGTCAACAAAGCCATTTACCCTTTTGATCAATTTGTGTTGGTCATGCAGTATAATGGTACTTCTTAAAGTGCAGCCTTCTTGAGAACTTGTCCTCTTGGTACATACAGCTTAGAGTGACCAACAGAGTCAAGATGTATTATATCTGAAGCCTGGGCAAGGTTTATCAACTCCAGGAAAGTATTGGAACTTAGGTTCTGTCTCCAGGGCTTTCTGTTCTGATAAAACAGATTGCTAGATTAGACTGGCATCTGGACCTGGTCATTAATTAGTATTGCAAGATGCAGGGTGCACATTTATTTATATTAAAGGGAAGGTTGGAGCTGGCCAGGATCAGAACTAAAGTTTTTAGAATCCATAATATTAATAATAATAGCAATACACTTTCCCAGAATCCCTTACTGAGAATGCCTAATTTGTTAACTTTGAAAATGAGTGTCATTTTAAACAGATTATCTTGAGCTACTTAAAACTACCACCTATCACTCCTGAAAACTAGCTATCATTCCTAAATTGATAGGACTTGATGAAGCAAAGGGCAGTATCGGGTGACAACCCAGATGCACATCTGGAATTACACCTGGCTAGGACAAACTGAAGCTCCTTCCTGGGACCATGAAAGACAAACTTTAAAGACCCAATTGAGCGTACATCTCCACCAACGCTTCCATGCCCAAAGACTTGATTTAGTTTGGTACAAAAGCTAGACGAAGTAAGCTGCCAGGTCTGCTACTACATCCTTGTGCACCACAGCAGAGACGCAGTGCTCTCCAAATTGTGCAGGCTTTCCAGGGGTGAAGGTAGTGACTGGCTCGCAAACAAGGATTTCATGTGTTTAGGTTATTCTATTTCTTTTTAATATAATTGCTTTAACGATAAGACGAGGTTATTAAAAGGAGGTAGAATGTGGAATGCCTTTGAAAAGAGAAAGAGAGAAAATTGCTGTGCTGCCTCAGTAGAGCAGTATGGGGAGTAGGAAGTAACCCCACAGCACAGTGTGTGGAGTGGAAGTATTCCAGGCCGGAGAGTTGGTGGATTAAAGAGGTATCCTGGATACAGCAGTGTGTGGCGTGGGAAGTAACCTGTAGGGCAGTATGTGGAGAAAGAAGTACCCTGTTGGACCAGTGTGTGGCGTAGGAGATATCCTGGTAGATAGGAAATATGTATGTAGAGCAGTATTTGATAGAGTGCTAAGTGGAGCAAGAAGTATCCCATTAGACCAGTGTGTGCCGTAGGAAGTATCAGCAGAGCAGTGTGGGGGGTAGGATATCTATAGTAGAGTATGTGTGGAGTGGAAGTATCCATGAAGAGCAGCGTGTGTAGTGGGAAGTATTACTCACAGAGCAGCATGTGGAGGAGGAAGTGTCCCTGGCAAACACTGTATAGAACATGGAGTGTCCTGGCGAGAGCAGTAAGGAGAGGGATGTGTCCAGGTAGACCAGTGTGTGAAGTGGGAAGTATTCTGGGTAGAACAGTTTGTAGAGTAGGGAGAGTAGGAAGTGTATTGGTAGATCTGTGTGTGAAGTAGGAAACATCCCGATGGAACACTCTATGGAGTAGAAAGTATCTGCCACAGAGCAGACTGTGGATTAGAAAGTGTCCTGGTAGGGCAGTTTGTGGAGTAGGAGGAATTCCAGATAGAGCAGTTTGTGCATGGTGTAGGACAGTAGATTGTATGAGGTGGGTCATGTGTGGTTTGGGAAGAATCCTGGGTATGCTTGTGCAGTGGCAGATAGAGCAGTGGGGAGAGTAGGAAGTATCCTTGGTACAGCACTGCGTGCGAAAGGAAGATATCTCCGAGTGGAGCACTGTCTAGTGGGGAGCATTCGTGCAGAGTAGTGTGTGCAGTCGAGAAGTATCCTTGGGTAGAGCACTGACGAATATGAACTATTTCTATGGAAGGGTGTGTGCTGTATGGAAATAGCTCCAGGTAGAGCATTGTCTTAGTAGGAAGTCTCCCGAAAGAGTAGTGTGTGGAGTAGAAAGTATTCCAGTAGAGCCAAGTATGGAGTAGGAAATAGCTCCCATAGAGCGGTGTGTGTGGAATAGGAAGTATCCCGGTAGAGCAGGGCGGAGAGTTTCAGTGGAGCAATGTGTGGAGAACAGTGTGTGGAAGCCTCGGGAGATGGAGACCACGCATTAGAGAGGCTGCTGTTGATTCCCAGTCTGTGGTGTGAGTAAAGATTGCCTTGTCAGAAATGTACATCGTCACCTCTCCCAGGACTTTTTTTCTCTGAGTCTGGGTTAGAATCCAGGGATCTCGTTTTATCACCCAGGCCGGGAATTGATGCAGAGGTGGATAAAAACTGACTTAGGGGCTATTGGACAAGAGGACGCCTTAGTGGGGTCTTGCTTGGCTCTCAACGTTGGGTGAATTCCAGGAGGAATGGGGCTGAGCACAACTGGTCAGAGGCACTTGGGTTGGACTCCACAGCTCGCCCTCACTCCCAGGGCGGATTTTGTCGGTGAGGAAATAAGGGGTTAGAGTAGTCGGGTGCCAGGGAGAAAGTATGGAGTGGGAGGAACACTCTTGGCTAGGAGGTAATGGTAGGGGCCTGTGTCGTAGGGTCCATCCTTCTTCCTGAAAGACCTCGACTGAGGTGCGTCCTACTGTACTGGTAGTATTTTTATTCATTTTCTGTCTCCCTTCTGAACTGTTGAGTTTATCAAGTGAAAACAAATTATGGGTATGTGGAGCCTTATTGGAGAAGATGCTAGACTCACTGTGCTGCCCACCAGCCATGTGTGGTTATTTAAATGTCAATTAATTGAAATAAAATTAAAAATTGAGGCCCTGGCTGGTGTGGCTCAGTGGATTGAGCACAGGCTGCAAACCAAAGGATTGCCAGTTTGATTCCCAGTCATGGCACATGCCTGGGTTGCAGGCCGGATCCCTGGTGGGGGCCACATGAGAGGTAACCACACATTGATGTTTCTCTCCCTCTCTTTCTCCCTCCCTCCCCCTCTCTCTAAAAAATAAATAAATAAAGTCTTTTCTTAAAAATTGAGTTTCTCAGTTGCAATAGCCACATTTCAGGTGCTCACAAGCCTTATGTGGCCAGTGGCTACCGTATTCGACAGCACGGTTATAGAACAATTCCACGATCACACAAAGTCCTGTTGCACAGTACCGTTCTAGGGAATGGAGAGGGATTCAATGAAAGGTTGTCCAGAGGGTGAGGAAGTCTGATCGTGAGTTGGGAGCAGAGGGTCTCCGTTATAGTGTTGTAAGGACAAATGTGTCATTCAGGAGATCCAAGTCTAAGCCTTTGCCCTGCCCCTTCCCTTCCGCCACCCAAACTTCAGCCTCTTCCTGTAATAACCATGCGGTGTGTTTCAGTTCTCCTGAATGACTTAATTTCTTCTGTTACAGAGACTATTTACAAAAACACTTTCCTTTGAGTTCCATAACCAAAAAACTGTTACTCTAGGCGTATTTTGCAAGAATTCATTTGCATATGTTCTCCATTTCTGTTTAATATTTTTTGCTATTTTTGCAGGTAAGAGTTGGAGGTGAGAAGCAATTAAGCCATTACTTTTTAGCTCATTCATTTATTATTAAGCAATTTCCCTTACCCTACTTTTCATATGCCAGAACAGAGAGTCTTGGACATCCAGATGGGAGTCTTGGCTATGATTCACAGCCATAAGTCAAAATACAAATTAATTAACACAGATCAACTTTTTTTTAATAGGTGAGGAACAAAATATAACAGAAACAGATGCCTTCTATAAAAGGTAAAAGTATGCTGTTTTCTAATAAAAGCCTCTTCCTACAGAGGTCATCATTGGATTATAAAAATCAAAGCAAGAAAGGGACTGAAAACTGGAAGGTAGAACTGAGTATGTCAGGTTCTAGCATTTGGAGAGTTAATTTGAGGATAATACAGATTATTTCCTGCCTTGGTTGTAAAAGGACCCAGAGTGACGTTCAGAATGTTTAAGGGTTGGTGTGGCATGGGCCCTAGCGCTAGAGGTGAGCCCCGGGCAGGCCATGGTCCTTGGTGGCTGGATCCTGGAGACCTGGGGGAGAGACCCCTGTAGGTGGATTGTGGGTGGGTGCGCACGATGGCTGCTGTTTACCAGCTTGCACAGGAATATTTCAGGGTTGTCCTTGCTAGCATGTCAAGAGGCTTCCCTGGTGCACACCAGCACCTTGGCAGCCTGGCAGAGGAGGAGGAAGAGCAGGCCTCCCTGGGCTGTGAGGAGCTCATCATTTAATATGACTTAAACTGATTGTTGTTTAAATTTTTCATTAACAGTGAAATGTTTGATCCAGCAGAAAAGTACAAAATGGACCACAAGAGGAGAGGACTTGCGTTAATCTTCAATCATGAGCGGTTCTTCTGGCACTTAACGCTGCCGGAGAGGCGGGGCACCAATGCGGACAGGGACAATCTCCTGCGCAGGTAGTGGTTTTATCTGCAGGTCAAGATGATGAGATATTTAAGTGACAACTGCTTGTGGAAACTGGTCTGCGCTGAAGAAATAGCAAGAGTATTTGAGGTTGAGCCTCAGGTGGACACAGCCTCCACCCCTAAGAACTTGCCTGTTTTCTTCCTAACCCTGTTCTATTCAATGTTAACGAGCTCTGTATTGTTACAGATACACAGTGGACTTAAAAACTCAGGGGTTAAGAGTGCTGACCGCCCACACAGTCAAAAATCCACGTCTAACTTTTTACTCCTCCAAACCTAAGTTGTCCCTCAGTATCCACAGGGGATTGGTTCCAGGGTCCCTTTGGATACCAAAATGTACAGATGTTCAAGTCCCCTGTATAAAATGGTGTAGAATGTACATCAACTCATAGTCAGCCCTCTGCATCTGCGGACTCTCAACCACAGATCGAAAACAGTACAAGTAGTTATTGAAAACAGTTTGTGTAATCTGCAGCCTTGCAATTCAAACCCTTGTCGTTCAAGGGTCACCTGATTGGCATCGTAGACCCAGTATTCTAACTTGAGTCAGTCGTCATTGCTAGTCAGTCATCATTACCCTTTCTTATCGTGGGCGATCCGGGAAAATGATCATTATCATGTTTGATTTTTTGTTCCCCCTAAAGAAAAGACAACTCGTGTTATAAAATGCATCTAAATTCCTCATGTGGGGTATGTGACAGCTTTCAGTAACTCATAAGCTAATACACAATTTAATCTATCACCAGGTTGTCAGATCTAGGATTTGAAGTGAAATGCTTTAATGATCTTAGAGCAGAAGAACTGTTGCTCACAATTCATGAGGGTAAGTTGTTTTCCTGTTCATTTTCCTCTGATGGGATTGAGTATTTTAATTATCCTATCTGAAAAGACAGGTGGAAATAATTAACTGTGCTATAAAAAGTCTTACCAATTAATTTAGTGCAGGTTAAAGGTTTTTGGTTGTGCCCATCTGCTTATATGTTACTCACCAGTTTTAGAGACCCTTGCAAAGTATTATGCCTCTAAAGTGTATATTTAGCATGCCATGAATTATAGCCCATTATTCTAGAAATGAATGAAATAATATTTTCACTTGGCAATTAAAAGTCTAAAATGCAAACACTACGCATTCTGGGCAGTGATTTTTTCATTGACTCCTTCCACACCCAAGTTTTTTTTTTTACTGACTTCAAAATACTGTTGATTTACATACAGGATCTCTTAATATATACATCACTGCAGTAGGTATTTTAAGAATTTATGGTTATCATAATAATCACTGCATGCCGTGGATTTTCAAGTCTTTTGGCAACGGACTATTATTTATATAATTTAAACTTTCTTCAGAGCTCTTTTTTAAGATATAATTGCTATATAACGTATTAGTGTCAGGTATACAACATAATTGAGAGATCTCTAGTTCCCCATAAGTCTAGTTTCCATGCTTTACCATACATAGTTACTGCATTCTTTTCTTGTGATAAAGACTTTTTTCTAAAAAATTAATCCTAAAAGAGGATTTACTCTCTTGGCAATTTTCAAGTATGCAACACAGTATTATTAACTGTCATTCCCATTCTGTACATGACATCCCCATGACTTATTTTATATCTGGAAGTTTGTACCTTTTGACTCCTTCACCCACCTTGCCCACTTCCACCCTCCTATTTCCTCTGGCACCTGCAATCTGTGCTGCATGTCTGTAAGCTTGGTGTTTTGTTTAGTTGGTTGGTTGGATTTTTGAGATTTCAATATAAGTGAAATCATGCGGTATTTGTCTTTCTCTGATTTATTTCACTGAGCATAATACCCTGTAGTTCCGTACCTATTGTTGCAATGGCAAGATTTTATTCTTTTTATGATTGAATAACATTCCGTTGCACATATATGCACCACAATCTCTTTATCCATCCAGTCATCAATGGCCACTTACATGGTTTACATATGTAAGTTGTTATAAGTAATGCTGCTTGAACACAGGTGTGTATATGTCTTTTCAAGTTTGTGTTTTCATTCTCTCTGGATAAATACCCAAACATGGAATTGCTAGATCACATGGTAGTTCTATTTTTAATTTTTTGAGGAACCTCTACACCAGCACTCTTTTTTAATCTGTTTATGATTTTGATTTTAACTGGTTGCTTACCAAGTTTTTTATTTTGCTTGCTCATAAGCTTTAGAGGACATCAGTCTCATGTCTTCATACTCTTTTGGAAGCTCCAACTGCTGTATAGACGTGCTAAAGGCACTGCGTTCATTGCAGGTGCAGGGTGCAGCAGCACATACGGAATTGTTAAGTAGCAGTTTCTGGGTCTCTCCAGGCTGCTCTGAGAAGCTCTCTGCTGATTTCAGAAAACTTTTAGTGCCAAGATGACTTGGATGTTGAAGGGGGTTCCCTATAATATCCCTTTATGTTTTACATGTCATTTTTCTGTGTTTTAGAAAAACTAAGGACTTCAATAGTTTTGATTTAAAAAACATCATGTACAGTATGGTATAAATTATTTGACTAAAATAAGTTGTGTTTCATTGCAGACATTTTGCGTTTACTATAAGAATAACCAATTTTCTCCCTCCTTCGTTAATATGTATTACTTTACTATTAGTCAGTAGAATTTTAATATGTAGATAATAAGCATCTTATTTTCATTTCTGTATGAATTTTTTGGGCCTTATAGCATCAACCACTAGCCATCTAGATGCCGATTGCTTTTTGTGTGTTTTCCTGAGTCATGGCGAAGGCAATCACATTTACGCATATGATGCAAAAATTGAAATTCAGACACTGACGGGCTTGTTCAAAGGAGACAAGTGTCAGAGCCTGGTTGGAAAACCCAAGATATTTATCATTCAGGTAAGACTGATGATGTTATAATCTTTTTAAATATATTTTATTGATTATGCTATTACAGTTGTCCCATTTTTTCCCCTTCACTCCCCTCCACCCTGCACATCCTCTCCCACCCACATTCCCCCCCTGTAGTTCATGTCCATGTGTCATACTCGTAAGTTCCTTAGCTTCTACATTTCCTTTACTATTCTTGCCCTCCCCCTATTTTCTACCTACTGTCTATGCTACTTATTCTGTGTACCTTTTGCCCCTCCCTCCCCCTCCAACTCCCCTGTTGCTAACCCTCCATGTGATCTCTATTTCTGTGGTTCTGTTCCTGTTGTAGTTGTTTGCTTAGTTTGTTTTTGTTTTAGATGTGATTGTTCATAATTGTGAGTTTGCAGTCATTTTACTATACATGTTTTTATCTTCTTTTTGTTAGATAAGTCCCTTTAACATTTGATATAATAAGGGCTTGGTGATGATGAACTCCTTGAACTTAACCTTATCTGAGAAGTACTTTATCTACCCTTTCATTCTACATGAAAGCTTTGCTGGATAGAGCAATCTTGGTTGTAGTCTTTGGATTTCATGACTTGAATACTCCTTTCCAGCCCCTTCTTGCCTGTAAGGTCTCTTTTGAGAAATCAGCTGACAGTCTGATTGGAACTCCTTTGTAGGTGACTGTCCTCTTATCTCTTGCTGCTTCTAGGATTCTCTCCATTTTAATCTTGGCTAATGTAATGATGATGTACCTTGGTGTGTTCCTTCTTGGGTCCAACTTCTTTGGGACTCTCTGAGCTTCCTGGGTTTCCTGGAAGTCTATTTCCTTTGCCAGAATGGGGAAGCTCTCCTTTATTATTTGTTCAAATAAATGTTCCACTTGTGGCTATTCCTCTTCCCCTTCTGGTACCCCTATAAGTCAGATGTTGGAACGTTTAAAGATGTCCTGGAGGTTCCTAAGCCTCTCCTCATTTTTTTGAATTCTTGTTTCTTCCTTCTTTTCTGTTTGACCATTTTTTTCTTCCTTGTGGTCCACTCCCTTGATTTAGTCCCAGTTTCCTTTCCATCACTATTGGTTTCCTGTGCATTTCCCTCCATTTCAATTAGTTTAGCCTTCATATGTTCCTCTAATTTGTGACAAAAATCAACCAGTTCTGTGAGCATGCTGATCACCAGTGTTTTTGAACTGTGCATCTGATAGGTTGGCTATCTCTTGGTTGCTTAGAATTATTGGCTCTGGGGCTTCAAGCTGTTCTTGATCTGTTTTGGTCTGTTCACACCTGTTATGTATGAGGGGCGGAGCCTTAGGTGTTCACCAGGGCGGGTCTACCCAGTCACTGGGTTGTGATGCTGTATGTGGGGGCGGGGTCAGAGGAGGACAATGGCATTTGTTCCACTTTCTCTCGGATTTTGGTCCCCTCTGCTGCTTCCCACAAGCAAACCGGGCCCCCCTGGTGCTGGCTCCTGGGTGTGTGGGCCTGTGCACCCTCCAGGACCCTGTGGGTCTCTCCAAGAAACCGTCTGTGAGTCTAGGAGCTTCTCCTGGTACCTCGACCCTGAAAGTTTTCCCAATTGGTGCTTTTAGGCTTTAATTCCCGTCACTGGGGCCCTAGCCTGCGCGGTCTGTCTCACTGCTTGCCCCTTGGCCTGGTTTATCTGTGAAGAAATGTGTGACCCCGGTCAGTCAGCCACCTTGCACCCCCACTGGGTCTGCCTGTTGCCATCCCACACCTGGGATCTGCCAGCCGCCACCTGCGCGCCTCGGCCAGCCACCTTTTCCTGCCTGACCCACTCCGCCAGCCACTGACTCCGCCCCTCTTACCAGTCTGGCTGAAGGGTTCATTGTTGTCGGACTTCCGTACAGTTCAGTTTTCTGTGTTTTGGTTGTGTTTTTGTTACTAAAACTTTGTTGTCTTTAAAATTGGTTGTGCGAGGAGGCACAGTGTTTCCACCTACGCCTCTATCTTGGCTGGAAGTCCTTCTTACAAGTTTTGGAGAAGTCTGAGATCGTGGTGTTAACAGGGCTGGATCCTACTGTGGCCTCTCCCCTGGGCTCGTAGTTGACTGACTGCTTATCCTTCTGTCTCCTGGTATTTCCTGTGTGTGTGTATCCTAATCTCTTCTTATAAGGACACCGGTCATAGTGAATTAGGGGCTACCCTGATGCCCTTATTTTACCCTAATTATGTCTTTTAACACCAAATCTCCAAATACAGTCACATTTGAGGCAATGGGGGTTAGGACTTCATCATACACATTTTGGAATGGGAGGGACAAAGTCGACACTAGCGTTTGTGTGAGTCAGAATTAGCAGATAAGAATGAGACCTCACTTTCAAGTAGGAGCAAAAGGAAGAAGGCGCATTGATGTTTGTCTTCTCATGTCAAGTGTTGTCATTCTCATCAGTGTATGGCAGCAGGTAGGCACGGAAAACCCAATCTGGGAACATCTCTGATTGAATAGAAACATTTAGGCAAATACTATAGCTTTTTAAAAGAAAGGGTGACTCTTGATGCTATGCTATCCTTTATCTATAAGGAATTTTTAAGCCACAGAAGCTCTGTGCTCTATGGTGTACCTTTCAAACAACAGGATTTAGTGTACAGTTGAGGATGCCAATATTTTAAAAACACTGAAAGAAAATGTAAGTAGGAAAAAACCATCAGCTTTAGTCTACTGTTAACCTGAATGCTTCATTTTTGACGTGCCTATAACTTGGCTTCTGTCGATGTTAACACAAAGGTCTACTGAATTGTACATCCGCTGTAAGCATTAAGCGTCAGGAAGAAACGAGTAGGTAAGTAAAGGAAGTGGCTTTTCTCCATCTCGTAGGCTTGTCGGGGAAGCCAGCATGATGTGCCAGTCATTCCTTTGGATGTCGTGGATCATTGCACAAACAAGCCGGAGGCCAACGTCACCGAGGTGGACGCAGCCTCAGTTTACACACTTCCTGCCGGAGCAGACTTCCTCATGTGCTACTCTGTTGCAGAAGGTGTGTGGGTGTCCAGTACAAACGTGGAATGGGCTTTCCTGGCCAAATTCCTATAGGTTTCACCTGGGCTCCATGTGGAGCTGGTCTTTATATTAGGACACTGTGATTTGGTCTGGAAGCTCACAGGCTTTGAATAGATTCCTTGGATGACACAGCACAGAGAGAAACATGAAGATGTGAGAATACCTTATAGAGAAATCACCCCTGAGAACTAAAAGTTTAAAAACTACAAGTCTTCATATTAGCAACCTGATAGTCATAGTGTCTGTCATCACTGTCACACTGGTGGGAGGTTTTGTTGAAAAATATTTGATGATGATTGTTCTTTGTGTTTTTTTTTGCAGTAAGTGATTTTATGTTTTCATTCTTTCTAATCTCTTCTCAAAATCATTACTTAGCTACCATACTCTTGGAAACTTTTAAGTAATGGAGAAAACTAAATAAAATTAACTTTATTTTTATTGAACTGTATAGAATTAACTTTTTCCCGTGACAACGGTCAACAGAGGAAAATGTGAAAACTGTATCTTGCATACCCCTTAGTCTTCTCCAAGGTTTTATGAGCATTCAGACTTGTGTAGCAGTGAATTATACAGGTGTTTCTAGTCACAGTAACTGAAAGCCAGAAAACTCCACTGACCTTTTCCGCCTGTTTTTTTCAGGTTATTATTCTCATCGGGAAACTGTGAATGGCTCTTGGTACATTCAAGATTTGTGTGAGATGCTGAGGAAATTCGGCTCCTCCTTGGAGTTCACAGAACTCCTCACACTGGTGAACAGGAAAGTTTCTCAGCGCCGAGTGGACTTTTGCAAAGACCTGAGTGCAATTGGGAAGAAGCAGGTCCCCTGCTTTGCCTCCATGCTGACGAAAAAGCTGCATTTCTTTCCGAAATCATCATAAGGCTATTTTGTTAGATGTATTTGTATTCAAAATAGATTCCTCCTTTTTCTAAAGCAATATAAATAAGTATCACTCGATTAAAGCTTATGGTGTGGCAATTTAAAATGTTTTATGGTTTAATGAGAGAACTTTTTTAAAAAATAGTTCATACTGGGCATGGTGAAAGGGTTTGATAGATGTAGACACAAAATCCTCAGGGAATTACTGTTAAAAAAATCCATAAGCATTTTAATACCTGATTTTTGTAACTTGTGAGATTACAGTAAATATCTGGCTGATTTAACTTGTCTTTTGTAAAATTTTTAATAAAAGTTTTTTAAACCCAAGAATTAGTTTTGCTTTTATAATTAATATTTTATCAAATTTATCCATGATTCTGTCACTGTTCCTATGTGCTAAGTTTGTTTTTTAGATTCATTGTTGATAGATATGTATTACCATTTTATTGTTCATAGTTTTGATCATTTTCTTAAGCCTTTTAACATTTCATGTAACAATGATTTGATGATGATGAACTCCTTTACTTTTTTCTTGTCTGGGAAGCTCTTTATCTGCCCTTAGATCCTACTTATAACTTTGCTGGGTAGAGCAATCTTGGCTGTAGGTCCCTGCTTTTTATGACTTTGAATATTTCTTGCTAAAACATTTCTACCCTGAAAAGTTTCTTTTGAGAAATCAGCTGACAGTCTTGTGCGAACTGCCCTGTAAGTAATTAACTGCCTTTCTCTTGCTACTTTTAAGATTCTCTCCTTATCTTTAAGCTTTGGCATTTTAATTATGATGTATCTTGGAGTAGGCCTCTGCACCCATCTTCTTTGGGTCTCTGTGCTTTCTGGACTTGCATGTCTGTTTCTTTCAGCAAATTAGGAAGTTTTCTGTCATTTTTTTGAATAGATTTCCAATTTCTTTTTTCTCTTCTCCTGGTACCCCTATGATGCAAATGTTGGACACTTAAAGTTGTCCCAGAGGCTGCTTATACTATCCTCATCTTTTGGGATTCTCTTTTCTTCTTGTTCTGATTGCTTGTTTTTGTTATGTTCCAAATCATTGGTTTGATTCCTGGTTTCATCCACTCTGCTGTTGTTTGCCTGTAAGTTGTTCTTTATTTCAATTAGTGTATCCTTCATTTCTGACTGGGTCTGTTTTATGTTGCTGAGGTCCTCACTAAACTCCTTGAGCATCCTTGTAATCAGTGTTTTGAGTTTTCCATCTGATAGATTGCTTATCTCCATCTAATTGAGCCCTTTTCCTGGAGTTTTGATCTGTTCTTCCATTTGGGCCATGTTTCTTTGTCTCCTCATTTTGGCAGCCTCCTGTGTTTGTTTCTATGTATTAGGAAGAGCAGCTTTGACTCCTTGTCTTGGTAGTGTGGCCTAACGTAGTAGGTGTCCTGTAGGGTCTACTGGCCCAGCCTCCCCTATCCCTGAAGCTGGGTACTCGAGGTGCACCTTTCATGTGGGCTGAGTATGCCTTTCTCTTGTAATTAAACCTTAATTGCTGTCAGCAGATCAATGTGAGGAAGTTACCCAGGCTGGTCAGCTACAAGGACTGGCTGTGGCCACTTACCACCAACCTCTGCCCTTTCATGGAGGATCAGCTGTGAAGGGGCAGGATGGTGGTGCTCTGACATGGTCTGTAGCTGTCCACTGTGTATGCAGACTCTAGAATTTCCCAGGCAGTGCAGGGCAAGTTCAGCCCTCACCCGTGTTTTTGCCAGAAGCTACCCTGCCTGAGCTATAAAGCAATCTGAGATGGCTGCTAGTTGTGCTGGGCTTGGAGCTTCCCTAGTGAAGCCAAGCTAGGAATCTAGGCTGGCTGCTGCTAGTGCCAGGGGAGGGGCTCACTAAGGTCAGCTGCTGCTTGTTTGAGAGGATTTAGGAAGTTGTGAAGCAGGGTCCAAGACCAGCCATTCATATGGAAAAGCAGCTTGTATGGGCCTATAAATTGGGTGGGGTGGAGTCTCTGGGGATCTCCAAGGCGGGTCAAACACTTTTAGCCAGGTCGATGGCAGTAGCTTGGAGGCTCTGGTCGGGGAGAGTTTAGAAAAGGGACAACGACCTCCGGTTGCCTCGATGCCAGACACTTGTTTCTCCCTGTACACCACTGGTGCCCTCAAGCCGCCACCTCCGCGCTGGAGCTCGGAGTGAGTCTGAGGAGGTGAGTCTGTGCATAGTTTCTTCCCTGACTCAATCCCTGCTGGTTTTTGCAGCCAGATGTTGTGGGGACTTATCTTCCTGATACTGGAATCCTGGGCTGGGATTCCTTGCACCCAAAATATCCCCCCCAAATCTTTTTCCACCACACATGGGTGTGGGACCAGCCTGTTTTGCATCCGCTCCCTTCCTACCGGTCTGGATGGATGTGGTTTCTTTCATTCCTTTGTTGTCAGACTTCCACTTAACTCGGTTTCTGACGGTTTTGAGTGATGGCTGTTCTATATTTTACTTGTAAATTTGATGTGGTTGTGTGAAGAGGTGAGCCATGTCTGCCTACGCTGCCACCTTGACTGGAAATCCCCAGATTTTCCTTTAGACCAGGTGTCAAACTCATTTTCATCAGGGGCCACATCAGCCTCGTGGTTGCCTTCAATGGGCTGAATGTAATTTTGGGACTGTATAAATGTAACTACTCCTTAACTAGGGGCAAGGAGCTCAGGACTACTACCAGGTAGAAACAAGGTACTGGGCCACATAAAACAAGGTGGAGGGGCTGGTTTCAGGCTGCAGGTCTTGTGTTTACCACCTGTGCTTTAGACTGTGCAAGAATCCAGTAGCCATGTTTTCCATGACTAGCCTATCCCCACCTCTGTACCTCAAAGTGCCAGAGGCCTTTTCCCTATCTTTCTTGGGTATGTAGTATGAGCCAGGTATTAGTCTTGGGACTGTGACAGGTGCATCACTTTATTCTCATTAAAGTCATTGGTATTAATTCTTTTGATGAGGTCAGCTAACTGCCTAGTATCTTCAGCGAGTAAATTTCAGAACCTGTCTGACCCCAAACTCCACACTTTCTATCCCACACTTGATTTACTTTGAAGTCTTCTATGTTAAATCCAGAACCCCACCTCCATTTTCTGACACCAACCCCCCAGTTCAACCTTCAAGAAACCTTCTTTTCATTGTATGTGCTCAGTTCTGCTTAGAAAAGTATCCCACCAAAACACAGCAAAGAGCCACTTCTGGCCTCCTCCACCACTTACTATATTTTGCCTGAGAAGCCCTTCTTCATTCCAAATTCCACCCAAGAGGCAAGGCCCACCTTTCCTAACTGGTTTCTCTTCACTTGCACGGTACGGTGGTCTTGTCTCTTCCTGGGAAGAGTTCCTTAAAGGCGGAACATGACCTAAGGGCCTGTTGCAATATTGTAATTATATTGGACTTCATTCTCACAGCTCCCGGAACCTTTGGAATTTCACAAGTGTAGAAAGTGATAAAGGTGTTTTGTTATGTAAATGAATGACTTTTGGACCCATCCCAAGGGTGGGGGTTGGTTGCTGGAAGAGCCTCCATGAAAACCCAGAGGACAACTTGTTTGGCCTTTGGCGGGAGGGCTTTCACACTGGAGAACCAGGCTTCAAGGCGCCACCCTCACTGGAAAGCGAACAAGCCCAGAGCAGGTCTGCCTCGGGCCCACTGGTGGTGTGTGGGTCCTTGACTTCGTGCAGGGAAGATTCCCCAACAATCCGAGGTGATTTGCAGAGTGCGTTTATTAAGGCTGGGGACAGTGGTACAAGGGACAGCTTAGGGAGAAGCAGCAGAAGAGCCTGGACAGTGCTGCTGCTGTTAGCTCAATGTGAAGTCAGAGAAAAGGGGTCACCAGAGACATATTCAAGGGGTAGGCCCAGGACAAGCTGCCACTGCCCATTGCTCCCCTAGTTCTAAGTGGGGTCCTTTAACATCTAGGAGAGAAATGATGCATGCCTGACAGGGGAGAAAGTCACGGGTAGGCTCCCAAGATTCACGGTGCTTGAAGGTTCTTATCTGTTTTCTAAAGGTGGGAAGTTTAGAGGATGATTTCAATAGGATATCAGATCCATTCTCAATTTCAACCATCCCTGGCCTGGATTGGCACAAATGGCACTAATTGGATTTCTGTTACTATCTCCCTAAGTGGGATGATTTAAGCTATTTACCCTCTGGGTGGGAAGAAGTATAAACCATTTCCCAGGTGTCTTCGTTTAGGGAAGGTAGGATTTTCCTGTTTACTATATGGCTGTGAACTGCTTGGTTGTTTAATTGTCTGTTTCCCTGCTCCACTTGTCTTGGCTTACTAACCTGTCTCATCACCATGCTGGGCCCAAACTCCGTGAGGACAGAGCTCTTTGGTGTGGACTTCAACCCATATATCTCTTCACCTGGCTGTTGATGTGTATGCTTTAATATCATTTTTAATAAATTGGTAATTTAGTGAGTAATTGGGTTTTCCTGAGTTGTGTGAGCTGCTCTAGCAAATTAGTCTAACCAGAGGAGGGCTTTGCCAGAACTTCCAATTTATAGCTGCTTGGTCAGAAGCACAGGTGATCATCTGGGCTTGCAACTGGCATGTGAAGCAGAGGGCATTCTCGTGGGACTCCGCCCTTTTAACTCATGGAGTCGTGTTCCATCTGCAGGCAGACAGTGTCAGAATTGAGTTGAATTCTCAGAAACCCTGCTTTTGTTCGAGAATTGTTGTATGGGGAAGCGTGTACACGTGCACTGAAATTGGGGTCTGGGAACTCTTTCTGCTTCTTGTAATACTTAACCTGGTGATATTCACTATAGAACCGTATTAGTGCATACTCTTAGCTTAGCAATAAAACACTACTATATTGCTAATTCAGGATCTCCGTGTTACAGAGATACTGATAAAAACGGCAGGTGACCAGTGTGTTGTAGTTAAGGTATACGGAAGTCTGAATCTGACTTGACTCAAAGATATACTCTGAAAACACGGGGGCCTTCAGTTTGTTTTAAGCACATCTCTGATATCAGGATGCCATCCTTACCCTTGTCAAATGCTGAATTGGTGAAATCTTAGATAATAGATCAAATACCATTAGTTGAAAATTTACAAAGATCTGTGACCTATTATATGAGTTGATGGTTAAATCTTGCAACTATGTGTACTTGGGCCAATTACCCTCTGTAAGCTTCAGTTTCCTTATTATTAAATTGGAAAGCTACCAAAAAATAGCAACCTCTGCCCCGACTGGTGTGGCTCAGTTGGCTGGGTGTTGCTCCATAAGACAAAAGGTCTCGGGTTCAATCCCTGGTCAGGGCACACACCTGGGTTGTGAGTTTGGTCCCCAATGGGAGTGTGTACAAGAGGCAACCAATCCATGTTTTTCTCTCGCATTGATGTTTCTCTCCTTCCCTTTCTCCCTCCCTTTCCCTCTCTTTAAAAATAGATAAATAAAATCTTTTAAAAAAATAGCCACCTCATAGGTAATAAATATGTAAAGCACCTAGCCCGGTATTTGACAACATATGAAAAATAGTATCTATTTCCAGAAACATTAGCGAAGATGAAACATTTCAAATGACATTTTATAACAATTTTAGCTATATTTAATAAGAATCTTCCAACTACTATGTATTTAAACACTGAATGTACAGTGACAGATGGTTATTAGACTTACTGTGACACTTCAGAAGGTATATAAACACTGAACTATTACACTGTACACCTGAAACTAGTGTAATACTATACTGTAACTAAAATAAAAACAAATTTTTAAAAAGAAATTAATGACAAGATGATTTGAAATGAAGGCTAGGAATGAGGAACGCCAAGCACACGGACCATTTCCCCTCCTCGCAGGCAATGAACGCCGGACAGACTGACAGGACTCTTAGCCCGGGCGCCAAACTGCACCGGCGGCTGCTTTGGTTTCTCGGATGCAATGAAGCTCCTTCCAGCATTAAACCTCAAGAAGTAGTGAAAATCCACAAACCAAACATCTCAAATGAGAACTCCCAAGAATATGCATTTGGCAAGCATTTTTTTTTTATTAACAAAAGATACTGAAACGGTCAACTTCAAATGAACTATGAGACTCAAAAAATTCCAGTTTCTAAGCTGGATCATCAACACATAATGGAAAAATTCACTGACATTTAAAAATGTAAGATTAATTCTTTTCATTGAGTTCCTCTACTTGTGTTGGCAAATATAGAGAGCGACGCAGCTGGTTCAGGGATTCTTTAGCCTGTCGATGAGAAAAAGAAAAAGTCCCTGATCAGAGAGCAGAGGAAACTCACCAGCATGGCTGCTGGAGAGGAAATGTCTCCTTAGTGAGCCCACACTCTAAACCACCAGTGCACAAATGCCCGATGTCTCGATCTAATGGGTCTTTTCTTAAAAAGTGAGTGTAAGGCTTCTAATACATCCTGATAGTTCTTGTATGTTAGTTTCTCCCTTTAGAATGGTTTTTCCCGTTCAAATAAAAAAAAGAGCAAAAACCCACTCTGACCTGTCAGCTTCTTCTCTTTTCTCAATTTTATTAGCTTAAAGAAATAATACTTCACAGATTGCTACTTTAAGTCTGAAACACCCAGTGCTATGAACTAGCTGGAAACATTCCTTAGCCCTCCTAGGTTGGATCATGCAATAGAAGAGTATCTCCCAAATTTTAAAAAATACATCATTATATTTCTCCTAAGCACTGAGTATGTAAAAACTAAAAGAAATCTCTTAAATCTCTTTAACTCCAATTTTTGGGTTACAAATTTAATTTGTCATTTTTTTAAAAATTGAGGAATGGGTAGTTGAGAAGTTACAGATATCAAAAGATATGATGATTACTGGCTATTAAATGAGTGTACATTGAACAGTAGAAAATATTTTTACCAGAACATTTTTTCTTATAAAATTACTAAGAAAAATTTAAAATCTAGTTAGGTGCAGAGAAGTCACCACATGAACAAGCTAATGAGTCCGCTGGGAGGCCCAAGATAAAAGCTGCTTAAGAAACAGGCCCTGGAGACAAACTCCTGGTTTCAGACCCTGGTTTCCCCACCTTCCAATGGTGTATAACCCGGCAAATGACAGTAAGCACCTCCAACTTCTCATGTGACAAACAAAAAAGATTAAAGAAGGAATGCCATATTGATTTTTCTATTTTTTTAAAAATTATTTTAATTGTTGTTCAAGTACAGTTTTCTGTCTTTTACTCCTATCCCAGCCCACCCCATGATTTTCCTATTTTTAAAGAGAAAAAACTTGTAAGTAGAATAGATGGGTACACAATGAAAAACTCAGAAGCCATTCTCTGAGACCTACTTAAAATGATCCGTGTCTACTGTCCTAAAATTCTTTGTTTTTGATAGATTACAAATCTGCAAATGAGCTTGATATTGGATTGTTTTCCTTAAAAACAAATATTCATGTAGAAATAGATTGCTACTGAACAATTACTTTACTATCTCAAAGGCATTTAACACTTTTTCACATACACATTTAAAGCTATCGCCACTTCAAACACAGAAGACAATAAAACAGTAGGATATGGAATTAGTATCAGACAGGTCAACTATTTTACTGAATAAACCACAATACATGGAAAATTTAACCTGTGAGGATAAGCCCCCAATTATATTTCCTTGACACTAAGTTTTGGCTCCCAAACAAAAGCAGCTATAAGATGCCGTGTTTACAATAAAATACCTTAGCAAGATCTTCTTTTAACTTGTTGTACTGTACCACATCAAAATGCTGTTGCTTTGATTTCTTGTGAAAGAAGTGAAGAAATTGCCTAGTCTTAATAGCTGAGTAAGTATAATCCTAAAAAAAAAAACAAAACAAAACAGGTTTTAAACAAATCTAATGCCTCTGCAAGAAAGATACCTGCTTGAGCAACACCAAAGCAAAGGCAGATGAGTAAAATACTTGCAGTAGCTACCAGAGCCAGCATAAGGAAACATAAGTAAAATGTTGGAGATCAGCTGCTCATGTCAAAAGCAAACAAGCTGGGAAGAGCAATCACATACCAGGATAGAAGGAAGAAAAAGGGAAATGGAGATTTTTGGCAAAATAATCACAAGATAAAGCAAAAAGTTACTGGTGTTTTTCAATACAAATTCTATTTCATTTACAAATGAGCGAACAAAGAATGTAAATTTGATGTGTTGATCTCAGTGGAGGAATCTGAGTTGGAATATTTATTTCTCTATAGAAGTTACATTGTGTTTCTCTGGGCTGTATATAAATCTCCATCCTCATGAAAAACAACAATGAAACTTATTGGCTTATAGAAACCAGAAAGCAGTAATTCAGTAACTAAAAAGGCTTTATTGCTTATTAGTTGACTTGCATAAGGAAATATTTGCAGAGGATGTTCTGACTTACTATTTTCCTAACAAACTACTCACCTGTCGAGTGACTAAAAAGTATGCAAAAAAGACCATGGAATTTGCAAATGTGATGAAGTATGTGACTGGTTCCATGATATCCCAGGAGTACACCCACCAGGTGAGCCAGGCCAAAGCCCCGCCCTGGACGGAGAGCAGCGCTAATCCAGCCCACAGGAGTCTTCTGGTTTTGGCTTCTGAGCGAGCTTCAATTCTAGCTTTCATCTGAGGGGAAAAACAAAGGGCTGTTAGTTCTGTTTACAAGAAGAAAAGGAACAACAATAATGGACATCTGTGTTACTTTAAAGAGGTTGATTTATGAAGAAACAATTTAAAAAGCATCCATTAGTGAGTGATCATCCTATTTCCAAATCAGCTAATTCAATAAATCATTTTTTATATTATAAAGGCAATACTTTCTCATGAAATGAAATGTAAGTAGAATAGATGGGTACACAATGAAAAACTCAGAAGCCATTCTCTGAGACCTACTTAAAGTCACAGGCTGATCTCCAGCTCACCAATTTCACTTCTGGGAATCCATCCTGCAGATGCACTTGCTCACATGTGATTCATGACAGATTCAGCTTTAAGAGTAAAACACCAAGAATTGTCCCCACATCCATGAAGCTATATGCAGCTGAAATGAAAAAGCTCTCTATGCACCCAGTTGGTGACCTTTGCAGGACACATGCATGCATGCCTCAGCCCACTGCAGGTCGGATGCAGGCCACCCCAGTGAAGCGAACACTGCAATCAAGTGAGTCACATGAATTTTTTGGGTCCCAGTGCACGTAAAAGGTATGTTTATACTATACTGTAATTTATTAAGTGTGTAATAGCATGATGTCTAAAAAGCAACATACATACCTTAATTTAAAAATACTGCTCATGCACTGGCTGGTGTGGCTCAGTGGACTGCCAGTTCAATTCCCACTCAGGGCACATGCCTGGGTCGCGGGCCAGGTCCCCAGTTGGAGACCTTGTAAGGGGCAAGCAACCTAATGTGTCTCTTGCACATTGATCCTTCTCTCCCTCTTTTTCTCCCTTCCTTCCCCTCTCTCTAAAAATAAATAAAATCTTTAAAAAAGAAAGAAAGAAAAATACTGCTCAAAATGCTAACCATCATCTGAGCCTTCAGTGAATTGTCATTTTTTTGTTTGCAGAGGGCTTTCCCTTCAATTTGGAAAAAAATTCAATATCTATAAAACACAAAAAGTGGACAAATAAAGTGAAGTAGGCCTGTGCACTGTTAGTGAGAAAAGGTGAGGGTAGTGTGTAACAGCCCACGCATTTTTCTGAAAAAGGGAGGAAATAGTAATATATTTGTATTTGTACATAAAATCTGAAATGGTTCACAGTTTAGGGCCATGGTACTGGGAGGGCAGTGGGAGAAAAACTTTCCATTGGCCACTTTAAAAATTTTTTTATTCTTAATATAAGTAAATAAACCACTGACCTTTTTAAAAGAAAAAATTAAAATGTACCCTGGCTGGTGTAGCTCAGTGGATTGAGCATGGGCCTGTGAAGCAAAGGGTCACCGGTTCGATTCCCAGTCAGGGCACATGCCTGAGTTGCACGCTGGGTCCCTAGTAGGGGACACATGAGAGGCAACCACACATTGATGTTTCTCTCCCACTTTCTCCTTCCCATCCCCCCTCTCTAAAAATAAATAAAAATATTTAAAAAATAAAAATTAAAAAATTAAAAATGTAGGTAAATAATCCAACAAATATAAAAAGTCCCTCTCTCTGCCATCCCCTAAATATCCTGAGTTAATCACTATTACGTTTCTTTTCTCTCTAGAAACTTTCTATTCATATACAAAGTTACAGTTACCTACCTATATTTAAAAATCACACGTGGAATCACAGGTTTAAAAATGCAGTTTTTTCTTAAATTAAAAAAGACTCCACCACCCTCCCCCCCTAAAAAAGTTATTTTTTTTTCTGTCACTGATTAACTTCAGATGTTAGGAAGCCGTCACTAACTTTCCAGCTCCACTTCTGTTAAGCGGAGCTGGGGCTGTGGCCTGTTCTCTGAGAGGGAAACGGTGGGGAAGTGCAGCCAGGGCATCCCCGTGCAAACCGCCCTCGTTTCCGAGGCACTTCTGCTGGCCGGCCTCAGAGAGGAAGCAGAGCACAGAGTGTAAGACGGCAGCTCTCGCGTCAGACCACCAGAGTTCAAGTTCTGGCTCTACCACATACTAGCTTTGTGCCTTTGGTGTCTTAGTCTCCCATGTAAACAATGAGAAAGATAACGGTAGCAAACTCGTGGCCCACTGTGGGGGTGAAAGGAGAAAATGGGTATGGGTGAAACACTCAGAAATGCTCACGTGGAAAGTGCTCCATAAAAACTGGGTATTATTTTCAGACTCAGCTGTGAGGCCTTCTAACCTGTTCGAGGGGCTGCAGCTGTCCCTTAAGGTGGTCAATTTGCTGGAGTAAACAGTGCTCTCTCTTTTTATGAATCTCTTCTAAATGCAAGGCTGTAAACAGTCTGTGAACCAAGGATTTCATGTTTTCCACTTCAGCAGTGTGCTCACTACTCAGTTTTTCTGAGGAAGAACAAAAGAGAAACATAAGGCAGTCGCCACATTTTTCCCTCCGGGGCCTGTAAGCCCAGGGAACCAAATCTCATTCCCCGTGGCTGGTTAGCCCTCCCTGCGCCTCCAGACACATTCGGTGTGGGCATGTCTTCCCGCCTCAGGTGATTCCACTAGTCCCTCTCATCTAAAGACAATTTGGAATAATAAATGATCAGACAATAGGTTCAAAATTGTTTTTATTTGTCTTTTTTCTTTATATGACTTTTGCTCTTTAAAAATTTTCGTACAGAAAGAATAAGGAGACTATCCATTTACCAGAACCAACTTGAATAAATATCTCACCTTAGTTTGTAACACATAGTTTATGGCCTCACTTTTATACCTGAGTTCCCTTTCCCCACCCTCCAACCATCTATCCAACAAGTATTTAAGGGTCCACAGGGGAGGGACGCAGGTGTACAAACATGTAAATGAAAGTATAGGATACATTTGAAAAGCAATTCAAATGGAAGTTCTTTACAAGGTACAGATCTGAAAGGAGGTTCAGCTCGACAAGAATGGGGATCACCACTTCTGAGTCTTCCAAATAGAATTCTTTCGATTATGGATTTCTGTCATCCTTTCACCTCTCTGGGTCTATGAATTCACATGATATTGGGCTGTCATGATACCTTCCTGGGGGTCACACCTGTTCCCCACCCGTGGAACAGAACTTGAGGGAAGGGGACAGGTGAGAGGAAGGGAAGACGGACCTTCCCACCAAGCAGCAGCAAACAATGCAGACAGATTTATGATCCTGTGACCTTCCTGGTTTTGCCAGCAGTTCTGAAGTTACTTCTCTTCTACTTCCACCCACTTCTTCAAGACTTTATTGTGGTCTGTAATCCTTTCCACATTCTAAGTTAAAGCTGCCTCAAAGAGGTAAACACAGGAAGTTCCCTTCTCAGCTTTTGAGATTTGCAAAACAGAGGTTTAGATGGAATACGTATTGACATTTAAAAGGTCTCCACACAGAAGAAAGGTATAGATGGGGCACAATTTTGTCCAAAGCTGTGGAATGTATCAAAGATAAACAAAGCCAGACACTAGTCAAAATGGTAAAGACAGATTTTATTCAGTAAGTATTGCAACAGGGAAGGGGATCCAGCAGGAGCTGAACTCAATTTTACTTTGTCCACAGGTGGCTGGGCCTTTTAAGGAAGGGAGGAGAACATCAGGAACTCAGGCAAAGTCAGGGAAGTGGAAATTTACAAAAAGTGAGAATGGGTTTTGGTTACTGAGACTAGGCCATTTGGATTTGTGAATGGCCTTACCCAGAAAGGTTATTAACAACCAGAACTGCAATGGTGCAAAGTCAGAGCAAGGGGCCCACCAGGCCAGGAGTGAGGGCAAGAGTGACCCCCGTGAACGTCTACACTGCAGAGAGGGGCCAGCTCTGGGTGGCAGGAGGCTGACACTCCAAAGGAGTAAGAAAGGATTTACAGTCACAAGTTTCTAAAGTGACAGCTCTGAGAAGGGGCTCAGGCCTATCTGCCTATTGCTGTCAGGCCCAGAATTAGATCAAAGTAGCCAAGAGGAACCCGAGGCAGGCTCCAGACTGTCTCAGCAAGGAAGATAGAAAGTACAAAGAGTGCTGAACAAGATAACCGCCTTGTGCATGACCTTGTCTTTGCAGAAAAGTATCCATTGTTGCAAGCAGAGAACATAGCATGTGTGTTCTCTCCAGATAGCCAATTGCTAACAGCTACGTCTGCTTCTGTATTTGCTTGCTTGCTCACCCCAATAAAAACCCTAGGCTGTAAGCGCCAGGGGCGACTCTCATTTGCAGCCTCTTGGCACCATGTCTTCGGACACCCCGAGAGTTTGCCGCTGCACAGGTAAAGCTTTGGCCAATAAAGTTCCATCTTAAACTCCTGAAAGCTTCCGACCATTTGTTGCTCGCGTTGGTGGATGCCACATTGCCAGATTTTCACTGAACAGCTGGGAAATTCCCCTGCCACTGCTGAGCTCTCTCAGGCAAGCGTTTTAGGGAGCCAGTCATCCTCCTAGGAACATAGCCTTGATCTGTTAAAAACTTTGCTGGTGTTTATTTAAGGCATGTAGTGTGGTGGGTGGGGGGGCTGAGTCAGCAGTTTTTACCAGCCAAGGTGAGGCCTAGTTAGGCAGAGGGCTCAGACAAGCCTGGCTGAAGTTTGGTCAGGGACATAGTCTTTGTTAAGTGGCACAAAATGTTTGTCTGAGTTCAGTGACAGAAGCTTTGGCTATACTTTCTCAGAAATGTGGGCACTGCAGAATTCCTATGTTGTATTACCAATTTAAACATTTGTCTCTGGGTATCTCCTAACAAAAGCCAAAATGGGAAGCCAAAATTCTTTTTCTTTAGGAGCTGTTTATTCCTTTTACATGTGCCTTCAATGTGGATTTTATCTTCATATCCTGAATTTTCAAATCCAGATTTCATAATGCTTTAGGAAAGAAATGGAATTTAAGTACATTTTTTTAAAACTGGAAATTTATCCTTTTATAAACTTCACTTTCCATTAACCTAGTAGGATTCTTGTCATTTTCCCTCCAAGGGGCCCACTGCGCCTTGCTAATCTGACTTACATTGTGGGGCCGGGCGAGTCTGAGTCAGGGTTCAGTGAGGCACCCCCAGGGCAGAGGGGCTGCGCTCAGCGGCCTCCTGTCTGCAGGGCAGGCCTCACTCTGATCCACTGAAAACTTTCCTGCTTCAGCTTCTATTGCCCAGTACATCACGTACAGATTTAAACAACAAAACTACAAGGCAAGGTAAAAGGCAAGAAAAAACACAATGTAAAGAAACAAAACTAGAATCAGAACCAGAATCTGATAAGGCAGAGACTTTAGAATCGTCAGACAATGAAATTAAGATAAAGATGATTAATATGGTAAGCGGTGTGATGAAAAAAGTGGACAACATGTAAGAACTGATGAGTAATAGAAACAGAAAGATGGAAATTCTAATAAAAAGTCAAAAACAGCCCTGGCTGGTGGCTCAGCTGGAGCATCGTCCTACACGTGAAAAGGCTGTGGGCTGGGTCCCCAGTCAGAGCACCTACAGAAGGCAATGGGTCAGTGTTTCTCACTGATGTTCCTCTGTCTCACTCTCCCCACCCACTCCTGCCACCTTCTCTCTCTAAATTCAGTCAACATATTCTTGCATGAGGATTTTTTAACACATCAAAAACAATTGCCAGAAGCCCAAAACATACAATAGAAATGGAGAACGCATTTAATGGGCTGGAAAGGAAACTGGACAAAGAGGAGGGAAGAGTCAGTGGGCTTGTGGACGTGTCTAGCACACTTCCCAAACCTAAGGAGAACGGAAAAGGAGAACGGGTGGAAAAAGGAACAGAATGTCCAAGAGCTGTGGTACAATTACAAAAGGTAATTATAACATGCAAAATGGCAGTACCAGATGGAGAATAGAGAAAGGAGCTGGAGACCACAATTTAAAATGACGTAAATGACTACATTTAAATGACTACAATTTACATGATAAGGACTCTACTAAAAAAAGTAGATAACATGCAAGAACTGATGAGTAATAAAAGCAGAGAAATATAAACTGTAAGAAAGAATCAGTATGAACTCTTAGACATCAAAAACACTATCAGAAATGAAGAGTGCCCTTGGCAGGCTTATTAAGTAGATGGGGCACAGCTAAGAAAAGAATTTCTAAGCTTGAGGATATGAATAGAAATTTCCCAAACTGAAAGAGAGAAAGAGGACACAAACAAAACAGCAGGATATCAAAAACTCTGCTGTACTACAAAAGGTGTGATATACATGTAATAGGACTATCAGAGGAAAGAAAAGAAAGGAGGGAAAGAAGGATGTTTGGATGGATGGATGGATGGATGGATGGATGGAAGGAAGGAAGGAAGGATGTTAGGAAGGAAGGAAGGAAGGAAGGAAGGAAGGAAGGGAGGAAGGAAGGAAGGAAGGAAGGAAGGAAGGAAGGAAGGAAGGAAGGAAGGAAGGAGGGAAGGAAGGAAGGAAGGAGGGAAGGAAATGAAACATATTTGGAGCAATAATGACTAAAAATTACCCATTGTAGTGCCAGACACCAAAACATAAACAGATCCAGGAAGTTCGGAGAATATCAACAGGATAAATGCCGCCAACTTCCCTAACCTAGGCATATCACATTAAACTGAAAAACATCAAACATAAAGAAAAAATCTTGAAGATAGAAGAAAAAACACCTTATCTATAGAAGAACAAAGATAAAACTTACATCTGACTTCTCCCAAGAAATTATAGAAGCAAGAAGAGAACAGAGTGAAATACAGTGTTTACAGAAAAAACTCAGCAACATAGTATTCTGTAACTTTCAAAAGTGAAGGAGAAATGAAGACTCTCAAATGAACAGTAAGAGGGAATTCATTGCTAGTACATCTGCTTTGCAAGAAATGATAAAAGATATTAAGGGAAGGAAAATGATATAGGCTAGAAACTCAAATCTACATAAAGAAATTCTACATTAAAGAAAGAAAAGATAAAATCAAAATTAATTTTTCTTTTTCCTTATTTTTAATTGATAGAACAGTTTGTTCAAAATAATGATAGCAAAAATGTATTCAAGATTATAGCTTACATAAAATGGAAACGAATGACAAGAAATGGGAAAGATCAGGAATATATGATTATTATAAGGTGCTTGAGATGCTTGTGAAATGGTGTATATACAGTGTTATTTGAAAGCAGACTTGGATTACTTGTAAATTGCAAAATGTGCAGCAACCACTAAAAATATTTTTAAAAGAAGTGTTACTGATATGCTAAGAAAGAAAATAAAATGGAATCATCTAGAATGTTCAATTAAAATCACAAAAGCAGCTGTGACTGCTGTGGCTCAGTGGACTGAGCGCCAGATCGAGAACTGAGAACCAAAGGGTTGCTGGTTCAATTCTGTCAGGGCACGTGCCTGGGTTGTGGGCCAGGTCCCAAGTGCGGGGTTTGTGAGAGGCAACAAATTGATGTCT